GTAAACGAAACTATAAATTCTTTGCGTGGAAGTGTTAGAGCTGAGCAAGTCTTGTGAAGTCCAGGTGGATTGGACTTGGTCGGAGCTGTTGGAAACAAGTTTTTATTTGGGTTGACTTGAAATTGTGTTTTTGCGACTCAGTAAATATCCTAGTTGACCAATTGTGGCAGGAGTAAAATACTAAACCCTTTTCATGGAAGGGTAGAACAATAAACCCTTTCATGAAAGGGTCTATACTAAACCTGCCTTCCGCTACTCATAAACCATTTTTTACTCTCAAATACTCTTTTTTAAGGATATATTAGAATAGTACATAATATTACATACCCACCTATTCTGAGGTTTGAAGGTGCTCAGTTTTTAATAATACAAAATGTATTTGTATTTGCGCAGCCCTCTGATACTTTCACAATAGTGATAATTATACAGATACGACCTCTCTTTGACGTTACGTATGACTGACTAAAATGAAAACCAATGATATAATCAACCGGTATCCACTTATTTTCGATCCTTGTTCAATAGATTTCTGTAATAAACTTTTTAATTAATTTTTATAATTTTTTTATTAGATCATCTGTTGATTTCTTTCCTTGTCGAAGTAGCTACCGTCCTTCTAAAGAATTTAAAGATTGTTAAAAAAACTGTGTTGTTTGTTGTTGTGGTCTTTTTAAGTCAGTTGCCTTTCTTTCAACACAAAAACAAATTACATTGAAAATTATATTTTTTATTCAGGTAGCCGTTGATTGGAGTTTTCACTAGTTGTTCAAAAGTTGGTCTTGAATCTTGTTTGGTTTATATAGTTTGATAATTCTGATAAGAATAAACAGCTGAAATTTCTGTAGCAATTGTTCAATACACAAGGTATTTGTTTTCGTTTTCACATAAAAATTTATTTTTATTTTGTAGTGATCATTCAACTTCATCATATTTTATCACGAGATTCTCTAATTAAACAATCACACATTTCAATTAGATTACAATGGATCCTCGAGATTGGAAGTGTTCACAAGTAATCCAATGGTTATCTTCCTTTAATAAAAATCAACACGTTCTTGATATTTTTACTAGTAAGTGGTCCCGAGATGTCTGTAAAAAACTATTACTTTTGCGCGCTATGCGTCCATAGCAGACCATACTATGCATTTCGCGAATTATTTAGGCACTTACAGTTCGTTCATAATGGACAATCAGATTTTAAAGTTCGATGTGAACTTGGACCATTATGTGGAAATACATATTCTACTTTTACCGGTTATAAAACCCATATTTATAGAGAACACACAGATCTTCTTGATAATGCTTCATGCAAACAAGAAATACTCATTGATACGAACACTCGTGATAATGAAACAGCAATAGCGACAAGCTATGATGCACAATTAGATGCTGATAATCTAATGCATAAGGTAGAAGATGAACGAGACCAGATAGAAAGCGAAACAGATGATGATGATGAAGATGTCATATGTTGGCCGTTACTCACGGAGAAAACAATTCAATCATCAGAAAACAAGATAGATTTTGATTACTTTGAAAAGTTTTACGTAGATTTTTTGCTCAATCTTCGAGAAGGTCATTCTTTGCCACAAAATATAATTCAAACAATTACGTCTGGATTAAAATCTTTGATAGAACTAGTTCATGAATTATTAAAAAACGAAAATAAAAATTCAAGGACCAAATATCAAAGATCAACTACTACTTCAGCCACAGACGATTCTATTTTATTGACTGATATGAAAGAAGTTATTTCAAATGTCATAATAGCTATGCATAAATGACATCTGATTTTCTTCAATCATTGTAAACTATTCATCGCTTTGTGTTTTTTTCCTTAGCTTTCCCCTATTTTATGTTATATATAGTCACGCCTCGTTAACCACTTTTTATTTGCACAGACAAACGTCCTTTGTAGATAACCTATTAGCAAGAATGGCAGATATTACAAAAAACGAATATAGCTTTTTGAAACTATGTAAAAAATATTTTTCGTATAAATCAGCTAAAGAAATAAAGTTAGAGAACTCCGATCAATCGGCATATTATATGCCAATACAAACCAGTATTCAACAAATGTTGAATAAGCCTGATGTTTTAACTATGTTAATTAAGAATGTTAATGAAAATGTTAATCGTAATACTATTGATACAGATCTTATGTTCAATTATCGCCATGCATTGGATGCAAGACAGCATGAAGTTTTGAAAAATAAGCCTGATGCATTATTATTTCAGTTATATATCGATGATATAGGATTAACAAATCCAATAGGTGCTAAGAGAGACACTCAAAAGATTACAATGGTGTACTTTCAATTAGAAGATCTACCTGATACAGTTAGATCAATGTTAAATTCCATAGGACTTATTGCCATGTGTCATTCAAGTTATTTATGTAATAAGTTAAATAGAAAAAAGTTTTCGATCCAATAATTGAAGATCTTAATGCTCTACAATCGACTGGCATTTTTATTCCAACTCTTGGTTATCATTTGAATTTTGCCTTTACCATCTTGGCTGGGGATCATTTAGCTTCTAATGATATCGGCGGTTTTCAAAAAAATTTTAACACCGGCGAGTTCTGCCGACATTGTCATATAAATTATGATCAAAAACTTATTCCTTTAAATCAAATTTCTCATCCTCGTCGAATCACAGATCAACATAATTATATCGTTCAACAAGTTATTGATTTAGATAATAATGCTGTATTACAAGGTGTTGCTGGTAGAAGTCCATTAGCAAACCTAATAGGTTTTCATGCTGTAAGATCGCTACCAAATGACCCTATGCATGACTTTCATGAAGGTATATAGAAGAGAACTTAGTTTTATATAAATTACAATTTTCTTTCTTTCTTTCTTTCTTTCTTTAGGTGTTTGTGGTCAATTATTAATGGCTATGCTGAAAGAAGCTTCAGCAAAAAGACTCCTTACTTATGGTGAAATCGAAAGTCGTTTGATGTCATTTGAATATGGAATGAATGATAAATCAAATAAACCACCTATTTTACGAAAAAAGCACTTAAACAAAGGGAAAGTTGTTGGTACAGCATCACAAAAGATGCTACTATTTAAACTATTCCCGATAATATTTTATGATATAATTGATCGGTTAGAAACCAAAGAGATTTATATCTGTTTACGCGAAATCATAAGTCTTACATTTGCTAGTCCTTTCCGAAAATCGTGGCTTTCGTATTTAAAATTGTTAAGTATTAATTTTCAATGTTTAATGGTACATTTATTGCCACATCTTGTGACATGTAAAGTTCATTTTATCACAGATTATGCAAAACAGATCGAAATGAATGGGCCAGCTATTCGACATTGGTGCATGCGTTTCGAGTCGAAACACCAAGTTTTCAAACGACTTGCCGTTAAATCGAATAACTTTAAGAATATTCTATATACGTTATCGAAACGTAATCAATTGCAACAATGTCTTCTTTTATCTTTCTCCAATTATTATACAATAAAAAACGAAGCCTATTCATTATCAGAAAGAGAATTCCATACATTATCAGCTGATATCCGTGCATTATTACAGAAACATGTAGGCTCTTGTGATGGTACAACAAAACTCATGGAATATCAACGCCTGAAATTCAACCATGTGATATTTATTAAAGGATCTGTGTTCGTGGACAATTTGGGACACGAGGAGGAGATACCTTGTTTTCTTCATCTGATGTTTATATTTAAAATAAATGATACTTGGCTATTAATAGTAGAACAACTTCAAACAATTGCTTTCAAGGAATCGCTATGGTCATACGAACTTGAACACACACATTTGTTTTTCGTGAAAGAGCCGAATGACCTTATTCATATACTACCTAAAGGAGTTGATATATACGAAATAGGAAAAAAATCATACGTTAACATTTTTTCGCGTCTTACTATAGAGAAAAAAAACAATCAATAAAAAAAATGATTTGTTAAGTGCCATTTAACAAAGAAAAATATATTCCACCACGTTATAATTATATTAGTCGAAAAGTGTTCATGTTTTTATATCTTATTTAGTCATTTTCTTTAGTGTATTCTTCTTTTTTTAGGAGAAGACATTGATGGTGAAACACTTTTTAATTTACCACAATCTATGATGTACGAAATAATCAAACCTATGAAAGAATGGGTACGCTTTTTAGCTGAACATCGTGATTTATTTCATGGAACATTTCGAAATAATTCTGATCAATGAATCTCTGAAAAATATATTAATCATTTACAAGATAACAATTCTCAACAATTGTTAGAGGAACGTAATTTTAATCAAGTTACAACACAGTCAACAGTCACGTTTTCAAATAATTATCAAGATGATACTTCTGCATTAGATTCTTCGACGAATTCAGATGTTGTAAACGAAAAGAACATCATCGTATCAAAAGTAGATGAAAATAAGGAAAATAATGATGATGATGATGATGAAGAATCAAGTTTTCCACATATCTATGTTTTACCAGATTTACCACTAAGAATTAAACAAATTATAAGTAGAGGTGAAATAAATGAATTTCGTGGTCATACAAATGCTCGCCGATTGTTACTTGATGCCATTTTTACTGATGTAACAATTCAATATTCACTACTGTAAGTAATCATGACTCATTCTTTTAAAAAAATAGCAACTTCTTTATCTTTTTTTAAATAAGGTATCCTGATAAAAGTCAATACAGATCAATGGCAAAAGCAATACTCAAAATATTAAATATTCCGAACGACACTGGAACATTGGTAACTAATTAGTATTCGAAAGAAGAATAGATAACATTTATTACGTTGAAAAATAAGATAATAGAACATATAATTTTATTCATTTCGAACTATGACTAGATACTGACTAAAACCTTATCATTTTCTATAATAGTAGACACATTATAAGCATTTCATTGACAGATAGCTCCTAAATCATATTTTAAATAACGAGAAAAATTTTTAATTCAAACAAAATTATCAAATATGTTAGAAGTTTTACTAATCAGATATGCTATTGAGGTCTAAATGTGACATTGAAGAAGTTTTTTTCCTGATAAATTGTTAATGTAAAAGTATATTTCTTTGTAGAACGAGTGGATTGAAAGTCTTAAAGCTAAATTTAAACGTGAACGTCGTCCACTTCAACAAATATCTGAACAAGTTCAAAAAATGAAGGTCAGATACGGAAATGGTAATGGTCGTCCAATGAAGCGAACTGATAATGTTATTGCACCTCGTCGAGAAGTAACTAATTTAAAATCTAAATCTAAACGAATAAAAAAAACGAACTGTTCCATTTGTGTAATTGTAGCTTACAGTTCAGTTTTGGAATAAAATAGATATGAACGATGATCCTGAAGATGCAAATCAGAATATTCAATTTATGAAGAGCGAATTAGCAAATCAAGTTATTAATTTCGATAATGTTAAAGTTTCATGGAAAAAAACATTGGTTCACAGAAGAAATTTTATTCAAAATCACACAACAAAAGAAGTTCTTGAAGAATACCCTGGTTATACTAATGGTTTACTGGTGAGCACATCTCCGTGATCTAGTTATATTTTAATAAATATTTCATTTCTTATCAGTGCCTAAAGATTTTCTGTATTTCATACAAGCTCTGCTTTTATTTAGATCTTTGATGAGGTTCAATATGTATGTAATATTGATATTGAAACAAATTTTAAACGCATTTTACCAAAATTACTAGATAGTATTCCCGATAATTCAGGTTTTGTTAATGGTAAGTAATTGTCTGGATTGTTCACAAATTGCTTATTTATTATATTTCGTTTAATTATTGTTTAGATCTTCCAGCTGTACGTTTGATTAAGCTTTTGTCCAAACATTTCACTGACTCGTGGCAACATGTTATATCGAACAAAGTAAGAGATCATTCTCTCTGAGAGTTTAAAGTATCGAACACTAAACCGCTAATTTAAGTATATTGTACGTTTTTTTAATAAAAAGTAAAGACTAAACACATTTATTTGTCCCTTTATAATTAAGGAGCCATTATCTCCTCGTCCTACTATACAAATAACAACAGACAAATTTATCATCTTCTTGGATTACGAAGTTATTACAGAAACATCATCGATTGATCAAGCGTTGTGCATTATCATTTGCTTATATGTTATATTCGAACTACAATTTGGGGCGCACAATCGGATAATCCATTTGCTTTACGGAATATTATTGCAAGAATCTGGAGCTTTGACCAAGCCGCGACGTCATTTATTACATCAATGGAGTTTTATTATTGATAAGAAAGAAAATAAAGGAAACACTCAAATAACAACGACAACATCGGCAAACAATGATACACGTGCAACTCCCATGAACAATATGGTACCTGTCGAAGAAATTCAAATATTTGATGTACGTGATATAGAAGAACAAGAAAGTTTTACTGAAAAATCAACTTATATTCGTCCAGTATATGAAGAACAGAATGATTTGTCTATATTGAGATTGTCTGGCGATAATCAAAATCCAATAAAAACAACTGAAAATGTCTGTGCCAAAGAAATAATCAATCAGTTTTCGACAGAAACATTTCAATCGTCCACCCCATCATCACCAATTAATGTTCCATTAATAATTCACATTTCAACATCACCAGGAGAAGAAGAAGAAAAAGAAGAAAAGATAACATCGCATTCACCACTTTCCGAGGTAAACACATTATACGTCGTGAATACCAAACATCAAATATCATCAAAATCAACTCATTCATCGTCAACTGTTTCAAAGAAAAGTGCACCTATAACAAGAAAACGTCCGGCTACTACAGAAGAACCTATAGCATTACGTTTAAAACGTTCACGACTGAAAAAGTCAAATTAACTATCAATATTTTCGATCTATTTTTTATTGATATAAGTAAACGAACGTTTTTTGATCAATTATATTCGTATTAGGTTTAAAAAATTTCAGCAGAAGCTATTTCGACCAATATCTTCTCTTATGTTTTTATTATATTGACCGTTTTTTTTTCTTTCATCGTACGTTTGCGCGTTCCTTTTTTTCTCGAAATAAAATGGAGCTGCGTAAATTCCTTCAGTTCTTCGACAAAAATCGTAAGACTATCTTCAACGAACAAAGTCTCTCAAAAGCATATTCCGACTTTTCGGAATATTCAAGCAACATTTCGCATACATTAAATCTTCGAATCAGCAACAACCATAACACTAAGTATTTTTCAAAAATGTTACATAGCTTTATATTTAGATTGATCAGAACAATTCATTTATGTCTAAGCAATCACTGTAAAATGGATTAATGGTATTTTTGTACAGTTAGATTGAGCTGAACAATTATTTATTTCGTAGGTAAAATATTTATATATACACTAACTCTTTCTTCGTATATTTAGGTTCATGAAAAGACATTTTATAGATCAGTTATTATTTTAATATAAATTAAAACTATTTTATTGTATTTAGAATTGTACAAATAGTAATTTAATGTCCAAATTATATTTTTAAAGTAACTAGCTCTATACTTTCCAATTTAGGCTAATCGAAGAAATCATTTTAACATGAATTAATTTTATTGTTTACATTTAGATTGATCAGAAGAATAGTACTATAGCTGAATAATCATTTTAATATAAATCAAGTCCACTATTTCATCGATATGATATGACATTGCAAAGAGTGATCGAATAGGTAAGATATTATCTTAATATAAACTAATTCTATTCTTGTGTATTTATGTTGAACAAAAGAATGGATTTCTTATGCTATGTAATTGTTTTAATACGAACTAGCTCTCTTGTTTTACACTTAGGTTGATCCTAAGAATGCATTGATACATAAGATAGTAGCTATTTTATTATAAATTAATTTTATTCTTCAATATTTAGGATGATCCAAAAACATAATTTTAAACATAAGTGAATGTTTTAATATGAATCGATTCTATTCTTTCATATTGAGAATAAACAAAACAATGATTTCAGTAAGCTATTATTTTGAAACAGAGTAATTCCTTTTTTTACAAATTCAGATTGATCCTAAAAATGATTCTATGGATGAATAGTTATTTTAATGGAAAGTGATCCCATATTTATCCGGTTGCGTGGATGCAAGAAAAATACTACAGATAAGTTAATGTTTCAATATGAATCAATTCTTTTCTTTCATATCTAGGTTGATGAGAAGAATTATTTGATCACTAAGTATTTATTTAAAAAAAAACAATTTCTGCTTTTATGTTTAGATCAATCTAAAAAATGAATTTTATAGATAGATGATCATTTTATTAAAAACTAATTCTGTTCGTTTATATTTAGCAGATCAGAAGAATAGTCTTATAAATCAGCAAATTATTTAAGTATGAATTAATTCTATTTTTTTATATTTAGAATGAGCGAAAAGATGAATTTATAAGTAAGTTATTTTTTTATTATAAATTACTTCGTTTTTTGTACATTTAGATTATTTAGCGCGATGGAATTCAGGGTAAGTTATATTTTTAAATAAATTATCTCTATACTTTTACCTTTAGTCTAATCGAAGAAATCATTTTAATATGAGTTAGTTTTATTGTTTTTGTTTAGGTTGATCAGAAGAATGAAATTATAGGTAGATAATCATTTTTATTAAAGATCAAATCCATTTTTTTAGATTTTATGATTGAAATGGCGATCAGATGGGTAAGCTACTATCTTAATATAAATAAATTCTGTTCTTTCATGTGTAATTTGTTCAGAAGAACAGTACGACCAGTAAGTTTTTTATTTCAACTCAATTAGTTGTTTCTTGTTACATTTAGATTGATCCAAAGAATCGATTTCAAGGTAAGTTAATGTTTTAATATGAATAAATTCTTTTCTTTCATATCTAGGTTGATGGGAAGAATTATTTGATCACTAAGTATTTATTTAAAAATAAAAATAATTTTTTTCTTTTATGTTTAGATCAATCTGAACAATGGATTTTATAGGTAGATAATCATTTTATTAAAAACTATGTCTGTTTGTTTATATTTAGAAGATCAGAAGAATAATCTTATAAATCAATAAATTATTTAAATATGAATTAATTCTATTTTTTATATTTAGAATGAGCGAATAGATGAATTTATGAGTAAGTTATTTTTTTATTATAAATTACTTCGTTTTTTGTACATTTAGATTATTTAGCGTGATGGAAGTCAGGCTAAGTTATCATTTTAATATTACTTGATTCTTTTATTTTATATCCTGGTTGATCCAAAGAATTATTTGATTGATAAAAAATTTATTCAATATAAAATAATTCTATCCTCTATTTTTATGGCGACACAATCAGCTCGATCGCTATCGATAATTCAATAGATTTAAATTATCTTCTTGTATTAAGAGAAAATGAAAAAAATTTGCGGTAAGAGAATATCTTGAGGCTAGCATAGTAAACAATCATATGAACCATGTAATCGTAATGGGTTTCGTTAAAGGATTCATGAGAACTTTTTATAGATTTCCAGAGTCTTCTTGAGGAGCATGTTTTGGAAAAATGACTTCGCAATAAGTTAATGCAGAACCAATTATTGATGAGGTATTATTGGGTGTTTATCAATTAGAACAAAGTATTCAAATAAACATTCCTGAAAGCAAATGGGGGTATTGAAAAAGCATTGGTTACGAAACCATTGTTTTTCACTGTAACAAATAGATTTATACGAAACTTTAGGTACGATACCCTTTTTGCAATTGTGAAAAATAGGTTTGTACGAAACCCCAACTACGGAACCCTTTTTCGCAGGTTTACAAAATTTGTTTTGTACGAATCCTTATTCATACGAAACTAAAAAAAGGTTCAGAATTCGTGTCAAATCTCGAAACCATTTTTTAGTTTCGTGTGAGACCTTTTTTTTTTCAGTGTGGCAGGATTCGAATCAAGATTTTCAAGGGTCCTGACAAGTTCACCATTGTTTTTGAAATCAAGATTGAGCCAGGAAATCGATGATTCCTTAAAGAAATGTGTAGCCACGAAAGTGTAGGATCCTTTCAGGATTTCAATAATTCAAAATCGGAAAAAAGGATTTCTGATGGTATCTTTCAGGATTTTACTGGGTCTTCTCGAAGATATTATCAAGTTTCTTGACAAGATCTTTGTAGGATTTAACTAGATTTCATTGCGCATCTTATCAGTTTCTTGGTAGGATCTTTGCAGGATTTTCTAAATAGAATATAAGAGAAATGAACACATAGAGTATCGATCTCTAGACTTTCAGTTTACATACCGATCAGCTTACCGAGCTGGATGTGCCATGTCATTCCATATCACTTCAACGTTCAACATAGTAATTTCTGACTAATGCAAACTTCTATTTGAATTTTATATAGATAGAAATTATTTCAAAAAAATTCTGAAAATACAATATCATATGAAAAAAAAGATTGACTGCGGTAAACATATATGATTTTTTTAACAAGAAAAAATTCGTTTGAAAAGAGTCTTTGTTGTTATTGTTCCTGCTCTCTATGTTTTAGCTGCAGGTTTCTTCTTCTTTGGTGGCGTTGTTGTTGGACATACTGTAGCTGCTGTTGATGAAACCATTTTGTTCGCGTTGGCACTACCAACATCAGCATTACCAATCAAAAATGTGCACGCCTTCAAATATTTTTCAATGTCTAAGTCTCCATCGATATATTTCTTATTCAAATTTGATATTGATCGACTTATTGTATCATTTTCTGGAGCAAGTGCACTGCCATTCGTTTGAATTTTACCAAAGACAAGTTGTTGTACGCGTTGTTCAATTATTTGTTCTTCAATTAGTAAACGATACAGAAATAACCATATATTAGGACGATTACCAAATCGATTTCCAATACGATTATTATATCCTAGAATGAGAAGAAAAAATAAATGTAAGTTAACTTACGAAATGGGATTAACTTGACCTAGAAAACCCCTCATTAAAGAAACAAAATAAATTACCTTCAATCCAGTTGTTGCTTCTTGGAATTAAATTTCCCACATGCCAATATTGTCTTGGAACAGATAGAAGCCATTGAGATTCGAAGTAACGAAGAAATTCGCAACATTGATCTGAACCAGTTGGAATATGTCTTTGTAAATATTCAATTGCATATGGCAAAATATCATTATCAACAAGTGGTAAAGCCATAAATGATCTAAGCCATGTTCTAATCGCTGCATCATCTTTATAACTGGGTATTAAACCAAGTTGTCCAATATTTCTATACAAACACTGGCAAAAATGGAACCAGCATCCAGTAATTTCCGCTCCTACAAACTATAAAAAAGACAAAACGGTGATGGAATATTTTGAGTAATATGAGAAATTGAAAGGATCAAATTCAAGAAACGCTGTATATACACTTACATGTCGTTCAATTGAGTTACGTTGAGCTGCCTCAAAATCAAGAATGAATCGTTTCACTTTCATTCGTGATTCTTTCTTCAATGACCAATTAATTATTTCAGACCAAATTTTATCATAAGTTTGCTGCTTTCTGTTACTAGTTAGTGCCCAAACCAATGGAACCCCTATTTAACAAAAAATTAAAAATTAAATTCGATAAATCTAAGTCAACTTAGGAATTTTCCATTTGCTCACCTTCACCATTGATGTTCCCCATAATAATAACTAATTGTTCAAAGCCAATTGGTGCACTTGCAAATGTTCCATCAACTAGAATTAATTCTGTTTCACATAACTGTTGCAATAACTCATTAGTTGAAAATAATAACAATCTTCCATCGTACTTTTTCTTATAGCCATCATATATAATAATTGATTCACGTCTTTTTGTTTGAGAAAATTGTTTTGGTATTTCAAATGTTTGATCGTTTGGCAAAGGTGGAAACATATTTGCACGATGTCGATAAATGGTTCGCACTACAAAAGAAAAATTTACAAGGTAATTAGCCATAGTTTAATAAAAGTTTTGCTTAGGAATATCTATCCCTAACTTAACCTGCAAAAACAAACTTACCAACTGCTTTCGGAAGAGGGAAATTGACCATAGCTTCGTTATCCAGTCCCAGATTGGCAATTCCTTGATCCACTGCAGCAGGAACATTAACAGTGAGATCTTCGACTTTTCGTTTCAAATCATTAATTAGATGATGTTTCTTCACCAATAACAAATCTGTTGGATGATTATGATCGATGCCATTATTACCAAGATAACTAGCGCTTGTTGAATCAGTGTACACCACTGCGCGGCACTTTTTGTCACGACGTTGGCATCTCCATAATTTTTTCATGAGTTTGTCTGATTTGGATTGAAACAAATAAATACTTTCTTCCATAAATAACATATCTCCACCTAATTTAGTTTTACCCCAAGTAATAGGGCCAACAGCTATTGAATAAGTTTCTTCATAACGCTTGTCATCATCATCTTTCTCCTGCTTCTTATTATTACCATGTTCTTCTTCAACATCATCATTTTTTCCATTATCATGTAAATTATAGGTGTTAGATATATTACTAAGTATATTCGATCTTACTGGACTGGTATTTGAGAATGATGCTGCTGATGATGTGACCACAGAACGTGAATGATCGGAAATTGATGAAAGACAGGAGGGTGAAGAAGGAGAAGATGGTTTGACATCATTATCTTTAACACCCGATAAAAGTTCTGATTGAGTCAGCCCTATAAGTGAAAGACAAGAGAAACGTATAAGGGCAATTTATGGAAACAATCCACACTGTCCTGAGTTATACACATACCTGAGTTGAATACATTTGCTGCTGGCACAACTTTTTCCTTCTTCTTCATTTTTTTTCTTCTATTATCATTAACATCATTATTTAATTTATTATCAATTTCAATGAACGTCGAAGATTTTTGATCCGATTTACTGTTTAGAATAATTCTCGCGACAGAACGAGTAATCCGCTTTTCAACGGAATACGATTTGGTTGGTGACATAACAAGCGAAAATAATATTTATATATTAACAAATTAGCGGAGGTCGACAATGAAGAAGTTGTGATCTACAAACAAGAATAAAATGATCAGATTAGAAGAATAAAAGAGAGAAAGTACAGATTCAGTGCACTTGTGAAATAAAATAGAAGCTAGAAGTAGAGAGTGGAACGAAGCCCGGTCGAGTATAGTAGTAGAGAAGAGAAATAAAACACATCTAGTGACCTTTGCAGATGAAACGAAAAATAAAAATGATGTGAAAATGTGATAAATACCCCAGTATTTATACATCGTAATAGATCGGACTGTACATGAATACGATTCAGTCCAGTAAGTTGACTATTCAAAAAGAGAATGTCGGTCCGTTAATTCAACAAATTAAATCAGTTAGACCGATAGAAACAAGAAAAAGAGAAAAGAGAAAAAGAAAGGTAACGATAAAACAGAGTGATTCAATTACTCATAGCTATTTGAAAAGATAAAATCAGTCGGATTCAATCAAGTTTCTTCTTTCATATTTCCCTACTATAACCGAGCGTCATCTTTTACGTATAGAAATAATATTAACTTAAGTAATCCGTAAGTTCCCATGGGCAATTTTTTGCCAATTGCCAGTATGTCTGTGACATACTGGCAATTGGCAAAAAGTACTATAGTTGGCAGAGCGTCAGAGGGCGATTCTGCCAATTGGCAGAATGTCACTGTCTTTCTGCCAATTGTTTGAACGTAATTGGCAGAAAGGTGAATTGGCAGAGTGACATAGATCCCTATGAAGACGTCATTTTTCTTTCGCGCAAAATACATCAAAATGCGTAAAAACATATGCTCTATTCGTTTTAAGTTGATTTAATATTCAAAACAATCGATAAATAGTCAAAATATTTCTAGATTTAAAAAAAATCTTATAAAAACCTATGACTCATTCTTTGTGGCAAACTTTAATACTATAAAATGGTCGGGTGTCAAATAGTCACATGCATAGTCTGATGCAGTTTTTCATGCTCTATTCGAATATCAACCTTAAATCGAAAGAAAAAATGTACTACATACTCAAATTCGTCAAATATCGCGAGAAATGGCATGCAATTTTACATTTTTTTAAATATTTTTTATTGTTCACTCTGGTTTAGCACAGATTCAATCGAGAAAGTACCACAAAAAGATTATGCGATGATATGCGCTTGTAAGGATTGACAGGTTTGTTGGTCATTGTTATGAGCAATGTGTATCTCAGTCGGCACGAAGAGCCCAACCTGCCATCGACTGAGTTTTTTTTCTTATTATTTTATTTGTTTTTTTTTCAAAGTTTTTTTTAGTAGTTTTCATATGAATTTATTTTATTTTCAAGAAGTAATCATTTATCTAATGAGCACAAAACAAAATAATCAACAAAAAGCTAATAAGTATGCAACTCGTCTTCTTTCAAAAATATCGGTTGAGCGATAGTATGCAATTTTTCTATTGTATTAACTATTTTTGATTTCATAAGTTGTTAATGTTCATATACATCCATTATTTCCTAGCAAGTAATTTTAATATTTAAATATCATACCCCGGTGGTGCGTCAGTTATAGAATTTAAATATGAAGAAGCTGATTCTCTCAATGCTTCTGGATGATATCGTGCAAACGATAAAAACCAAATCACAGAAGCAATATGAGAACAACAACCTACTACACGACAACCGTTTGGACATCGACAATACCAACCAAGAATTTCGTTTTTATTGTACTGTACCCAGACATCATATAGTGTAGCACTTTTATGTCGAGATAGTATTTGAGCCCTTATTAAATCGTCTCGTTGTTTAGCTATTTTTATATTAAACGAGCCGTTATTCGATAAATGTTCCACAGCATACTTCTTAGCCTGTTTAAGTTGAAAAGTGCCTAAGGTCAAGTCATTCAATTCATTGAATGTCATACGTGGAAAATCTTTAACTGAATATTTTGCATTTAATAAGGTCCACTTTAGAGATTTTTCAGATTTGCTTTTCAATCTATCGACATATGTTTTTATGTTATTTGATTGGGTTGCCAATCTTAACATTCGATCAGCTATAGCATCGTCTTTAGAGGGTGGGTGTGGGTGTAGCTGTAGCTGTGGGTATGGGTGTGGACGTGGGCGTGGATAGGGGTGTGAGATAGGGGTGTGAGATTAATTGCTCGACAGAGGCATACCCACCCACAGCAACACCCACACCCACACCCTGACAACAGCAACTCACCCTTTTTACGTCTTTCTTCCCTCCGACAGAGAGAGGGTGTGGGTGTGTGTGAACAGCAGTCAAGACTAGTTTCATCCTTGCTGAAGGGAATCATCAGTTGACAAAATATCTAAATGATTAATATAAAATAAATTTTAAAGAAATCACAAGATAAAATTATATCTGACTTATATATAGAATTAAAATTAACTGATATATATAAGTTGATAAATTCAAGAAACTGTAGTGTGAACAGCTACGATGATGTATAGAGTTGTTTTCCCATGTTTGAATGTTAATTTTTTTTTAAATTAATTGTGGGCATATATCTGAAAGAAAAAGAAAGTTAGAAGGTTTTTTGAAATTTTATTGGAGTAATTTCTGGATCAGGATGATATGTTTTTATTTTATTTTTGTTTTTTGAAGGATACATTAATTAATTATTGATAGGAATTGTTTTCCGAAGTTTTTATTATTATTGTTTTCATTGTTTTTGGATTAATCATCCTGAGGACAGAAACTTCCTGGTCATTGGTATTCGGTCTATGGAGGCTTGATGATAGTTGTAGTTTGTTGTCGAGTTGTTTTTGGCTTTTCGAATTTTCCTAATTAATGGTAGCAAAAGAAGTGTTTAAATTTTTTTATGTAAAGCTATGAGATAAATCATTTTTGGTGAAGTTGTTTGACTCACTTTTGGGTATTTTTTTATTTTGTAACAATGCTTGGTTTGGTCGTTTGCGTATTAGCTCATTGTGTGCTTGACGACGGATGCGGTTGCCTACGATTAATTTTGTGTACATTGCTGGTGTATCTTTAAATGTATCGTGGTATACTTGATGCATATCTCGTTTGCATGTTTTGAAACGTTTTTCATATGTATAATGAGTGAAGAATTTCTTATTGATGTTGGAATCTTTTTCTTCAGATTTTTTTGGGGCAGGGTTTGGTTGTTGTCTCTCATCATCATCTAGTGGATCGTTGTCAATGTCAGCCAATGCTGCACTCAGTACCACTTGTGTTTGCCGAGGTGTTGGTTGACCTAATATTTGTTTTCGCATAAGAAAATATTTTTGTTCGTCATCAATTAATGGTAGAAATGGTGATTTTGATATATATTGCGAAAAATATTTGTGAAACTCATTTTCAATAAATGTTGATGGATATCTAAATAATGCACGATTGAAATAGAATAAATCTTTTAATAAAATGTGAAATAAAAACTTACTCATTGTATAGTAACATCAATTTAATGTAACGTCGTTCATAATTGAATGCTTCAAATATCGATGAATATCTTGTTGCACGTTCAATAGAAGATTTGATTATATTCGAAAAAACATGTCGAGGATGATCAGATGTAAATGGTGTAACATATGGTTCAGCTGAAGGTTTATGATAGACACATGTTGATAGTATGCCATTGTTATTTGTAAGTTGTACATCAAGAAATGGAAGACTATAACCAATTTAATAGTCTAATTTAATATTTGGATGCCATGTATTCACATCATCTAATAATTTTCTTAATTCTTCTTCAGATCTATTCCAAGTCATAAAAATATCATCAATGTATCTATAAAGAAAAAAATTAGATAATAGTCATTATTTTAAATTTAAAATTTCTGGTCACTTACCTTCCATAAAATTCACCCGTCTTTGTTTGTTCTTCGACAAGTTTTTTTTGCCATTCTGACATAAAAATATTAGCCAAAGTTAATGTCAATGATGAATCCATAGCACCACCAGTTGTTTGCTTATAAATTGGGTGTGTGTGGGTGTGGGTGTGGGTGTGGGTGTTGTTGTGTGTGGGTTCGGCTGTGGATATAGGTCTTTCCTCAACTCCTACACCCACGCCCACGCCCACACACACACCCGGCGAAATCAAACTCTGCATTTATTTTTTCAAATTAATTTATATTGAAGCACATTAATTAGATCGCTAATTTTCGACACAAAAGTCGGTTGCTGAAAAGCAAAGGTTGAGACTAGCAGATTGAACTTGTCTTTTCGTTAAGAGATAGGCCAATCTGTTTTCCATTGATTTTACCAACATATTTGTATGAGATGTTAACTCTCTGTATAGATATGCCGGATATAAATTAGAAATTTTGATTTTTTCTTTAAAATCATTGTTTTCTTTAAGCCATCTGATGATTTGGGTAGTTCCAATGAAATCTAGATTATGGTAGCTGTTCACACCCTCAGTCATGTCATTATTTTGAAACACTAATTCAACGAACGTTTTTCTCAATTCATCTGAAAAATTTATTGCCTTGCTATCATATCCTTTTAATCGCTGTTTGAATCAAAGCTACGCATCAGTTCATAGATTATTACTAATACTAGATTAAAACTCAATACAGAGCAATCAGCTGGAGGTATTTCCAAGGAGGAAGAACTAAATAACAATAAAATCACTCCGAATGATTCTAGTATAAGGTTATCACCACAACTATCTAGTGCTTTATGAATAATTTTAGTATAGATTGTGTGCCTGTATTTATTGATACTATTAATGATTACCTGTATTCACTTGATTTGCTGAGTTAAAGTTTATGAACTTCACTCTAATGAGTGGTTTGCGCTTTGAAGCAGGCTACCATGTCGGAAGTAATATAACTCTTATCTCGACAGCGCTGACATAGGATACTTTGGTTTAATACTGTCCATTCTTATATTTTGGTATAAGACTACTGTTTTGCTAAAGACACATCCATTCTTTATCGAACTATGATAAACATTTCAAAAGATGTCATCAACTTTCTTTTTATTTTGGAATACCTAGCAACATCGTAATTGCTGTCAACAAAACTTACAGTTTTTTTCCTAAAATACAAAGCTCCTTTGTATTGATTCTATTTCTCACAAATGAAAACTCATATATGAAAAACTGATGTCAAATACATTGTCCCGACTACCCTTGATAACATTTTCTAGAAATAATTGTTTCAGTGAAACTTTTCGTAGATGCAGTACAACTATTCTAACGACTCATTTCAAGATAAGCCATAAGGACAGCAGCTAGCCATTGGCGTGTCACCCCAAAGTGGTTTTGAAAAAATTCTTCTCGGTAAAAATAAATGGCATATTTAGATTAAGCATGATCAGTTACTCATTTACCCGGACAGATTTCGAGAGAGTATGTCTTACCACAGATAAAAGCGTTTTGGACGAAACTTCATGCAAAATATTCAACAGAACAGAAAAAACAACTAACGCCTCACATGAGTATCGTACCCGACCTCACGTTACTTGTTGCCATTGACTGAAGAAGCAGAAGGTATTGAGAGGAATCGAATTAAATATCCATGTTTATAGAGATTGAGACAACGAATTCAAAAAAGTATTACTCAATTAGGTAGAAATTCGAGGAAATATTAGTAAAATATTGAAAGTGTAATTTATTTTGACCTATCTGTTAGTAACTCTTTTTCACGTTGTCTTATCTTTGTGACAGAAACGGTGAAATAATAAGTGAGTATGGTTTTCATTTACTCTAATACATCGACTAACTCAAATACAGGTAAGCTAATTGAAAATTCTGACACTCAGGTAAAATTTAAAACTATACGTTGAAAAAGAGATTTTTTCAATCAACAAAACCATCCGATTCGAATCCTTATACTAAAAATGCATATAAGAAAAACATGAACTATTCCACCATTGTTTTTACTCAGAAGTTTTATATCAATGTTAATGCAGATTCCACTGACGAGTTCTGCTATTCGAAGGCAGATGAAACCAAAGCTTTAGAAATTCAATATTACTTCAAACAGAATTGAAAAGCTTCAAAACAACATTTTCGTATTAATACATTAAGATCAATAAACGACCCTCACGATGTTTTTATATTTACCGTTATGAGTAAAAAATAAAGAAAGCCACGTGGAGAAGATTACTTCTTTTCGAATAAAAACGTAATCTTTCATTTTCTCCAAAGACGTTTGATACCATACTTACAAAGAAATACACATCGATAAGAAATTTTGCAGTTATATTTTTCAATGGTATCTTTACTTCAATGATAGCATGCTAGTCGTAAGGTGAAAAGTTGTAAAATATGGCCGTCAGCGATCAATCTTGTTTGATTAGTGAATGTTTTAAACAATGCTTAGCAAATTATTGTTTCTTGACCAATAAGAATTGTCGAACATTATGAGTTTGAAGAGAAAAAATTCTTAAGTTTTTGATCAAGCTGGATAATGTTTAGTTTATTGAGTCTTTCAACATCATACTCGGCATAATACCCCGTACTCAAGTAACAGAGCGAATCAAACCGGCAGTGTCATTTCAATGAAGCTATCGTGAGGGTGTGGGTGCGGGTGCGGGTGCGGGTGCGACTTTAGAGGAAAACACCCACACCCACATCCTATCGCTCAACTTTTTAATATACTTCGAAAGGGTAGAACTCTAATTGACTCTTTGAAAACTCGAACCTCCTCTAATACAACGACTTCCGATTGATTCAGCTAGGTTCGCTATTTTTCTCGGTTTTACATCCATAGTGAACTCGCACAAAGTTTAACAATCATGCTGAGGGTCAGATTGCGCTATTAGCAGAATCCTAAGTTCAACTTATCAAAACAGAGCTTTTTAACTTTCTCTTCAGTTTTCATCAACAAATGTCTCGGATTAGACCACGCCAACGAGCAACAGACTGCAACTACTCTCACACGAATAAGAACGTGCCGCTTAACGAATTAACTTCAAAGTCAGCGAAAATATTAACATTTTATTTCTCTAAAATACCGTTCAATATTTGCAGGGAAACGCATGAAAGCGTCACAGTATTCGAAATCCTACCAAATGAAATTATTTGTGGAATTTGCGAATATCTTTATGCTCTCGACATTTATGCAGCGTTTTACAATCTCAATTCACGTTTCCGACAGCTTATCACAAATTCCAGCGTTCTATTGAATGTCAATATTGGGTCTATGTCGAAATCCGAGTTTTCCAGATATGTTGAAAACATTATAACTCCCAATCAGGATCGAATCAGATTCATATATCTTTCGAATTTATACGTTGTGGACTTATTCTTCTCGCCAGTGAAAATAGCGTCGCGTTTTATTCGATTAGAAAAATTGGTTTTCGATAATATCAAATCGAAATATCTACTGAATATCATCCGGCGCTTAACTTCGTTAACTCAGTTATCATCTTTGACCATTATGCCAATTGATGAATATCGAAATCATGATGAAATCTATAGAAGTATACTGAATTTACCAGCATTGACATACTGCAAAATGAATCTAAAAAGAAGATATGACTATTCTGGTAATCCTACTGTGCGCATGCTACATGTTACGAGTCCTCTCGAAGAAATTGTTATTCTGCAGGCCCTTGATTATGATGATATCATTGGTTTATTGGCATGTGCTCCTCATCTCAAACGATTAGACTTCAATTTCTCCAAATGTCGGGATAATCTCCCTGCAATAGATTCTACTATCGCTTCCTTGCGTCTAACACACTTAACTGTTGATATGGGTTTGACACCATTCGATCATTTTGAAAGAATCACCACAAATCTACTTTCTCACCTACAGGTTTTACATATATCTGTAAAACAAAATAAGAAGTATTTAGATGCGAATAGATGGGAACAATTAATCTCATCGTCAATGCCCCATTTACGTATATTTGATCTTAATTACTCCTATCATATATACGGGATATATACTGAATGGAATCTAGCGGATTGTAATGAAACACTGAGAAAATTCAGTTCGCTGTTTTGGGCTCAACACAAATGGTATTTTGAGTATCAACTCGCTGTGAAAGACTATGAAGGTGAAATGTGGTTTTTTTCGGTCAATCCCTACAGGTAATACAAAAATGTTCTCGACTTCTAAAAAACGATGGGTTATTTTGATTACAACATGCGATAAATACTAAAAGTTCGTCTTGAATATACGAAGAGATGTAATAGAAAATCATCGATAATCTTAATGACTCGCTCCCATTCAATGACACACTATCACAAACAAATAATGTTAGACACCGTTGTCAAATGAAGTAATTTATTGCGGGTACACTTTCAGGAGCCAAGAATGTACTTTGCACTAAAGTGCTGTTCATGCCGCCAGAGTTAATTTTCAACGTTTAAAGCGAGAATCCCAATTTAGAAAAGATAGAATGATTTGCTCTCCAAGCATTTTAATCACGGGATTTTATTCGTTCGATATCTTCTTTTATGTCTGTAATGCATATCTTCCAGGTGGCTTCTTGTTCTTGTTGCAGACGAAGTGACTACACAGTGAGAAATTATTCTGGACGAAGTAATCATCCGAATGGTCAAACTATGAATATGGATAGTGTCGATCACGTATATATTAAAGATATCGGATCTATTGCGAGTTGCCAGAAAAACTTTGGGAACGCCACGAAACTCAGCCTCTCTTATAGATGTGACAACGCTATAGAAGAACTTCAGTATACTCTAACCAAGATTGTATCGCTGAGCAAACTGACTACATTGGATATAGAACTCACCCCAGTTCCTCTAATCGACTTGATTCATTTGATGAATTGTGTCCCGAGTATTCATACATTGACGTACAGTCTGCCAAGAGATCATGAAGTGAAATCCATGGAAATCCAGCAGAATGAATCGTTCCGATCGGTATCTTCGACCAATAAAATTACTGACCTGAAAATAGGTGGATCATGCGCAATAAACTATGTGGACGTTTTTATTGCTCTATGTCCACAGATAGAGCAACTTAGAATCGATTCGTGGTTGAATCCGAAAGCGCTAGAGCCATTGGTACGACTTTTACAATTCAAGATCAATACCAACAGTACACATTTGAACCTCATCCACTCCATAAATACATGCACATCAACATATGAAGGATTGAAAAAATTTATTCAAGCTGAAGGCTTACTCAATTATTATTCTTTGAAGCGAGTCGAGCGTGAAGTATACATATGGTGGTGAACACAAATATTCTACTGATTCATTAAGCTTTTGAAAGCCTCAATTGTTTACTAAGCTACTTGATGACGTACGAAGATACAATATATCAGTAGTGCACTTTTTTAAATGCACATATTTTGATTTATTCTCTTCAAATATGATAACATAATCCTGACTTACCATCACAGAATTTTCGTTTTGTGCCTTTTATTCTCTGATGCATGAGCTTTCTGATCTGCTCGGCTCGGTGTTATTGGACAGTACCGATTTTGGATCATTTTTTGCTTAAAGGATCTCAGCGGTAACAGAACTATGAATTTCCACTCTATGAAATACTAATTCAGCACAGCATCAACTTTCTACTATTTATCTAACAGTATTTAAACGACGTCCTAAGATTTTTATCATACCGTCTTGTTCAAAGTTCCATCAATATTGGAACTTATTATAAGTAGAGGGAACAATAAGTGCTGGTACTAGGGTGTAATTAGAGTAGAATAATTATATGTATAATCGTCTGGCCACTAAATCAGCTTGTTCCACTGTTATCCAATGCATTACTCGAGTGTACACATCAAACAATGAATTGTTTCGATGAAATTTTTTTAAATTCTTGCTAAGTGTGTTTTGATTCAGACGCACTGTATATGAAGATGCATAGTTTTCGATGAACGGCTAAGCTTTCAAAATGATTGCCATTATATCAAACGCATATAACAAAAACCATGATACTAATATGGTTGTGATTCATCATTCAGCAGTGGGCAGATTTCCGAAAAATGAAATTTCCAAGCTAAAAATACATATTTCGGAAATTACAAACATGAAAAATTCATCTTTTAGAAAATACCGGAAACTTTCGAAGTAACCGAGATACTACGCAACGCCAGCAAACACAGTGATGGAGTAATTTCTTAGAAATTTCGAAAATTACCCATAATGAATAGCAACATAATCACAAAACTTCCATACTGAACTTCTCCGAGCTCGAAACTTCCAAAGAAATTACTACAATTCCAACTACATCCCAACGAAAACTACACAAATCTACAAAACACACTAACGCAAATTACCTGGAAATTACGGGAATTTCCATGGTTAATCTCATGTACATACACTGGTATATGTGTACAAATTTGAAGGCCCACCCTCAAGAATGAGAAGAAATTCTAGTAATTTCGGTAATTACATGGAAATTACGGTAATTACGGAAATTAGTAGAATTTCTTCTCATTCTTGAGGGTGGGCCTTCAAATCTAAATATATACCAGTGTATGTACATGATATAAACTATGGAAATTTCGGTAATTACCGTAATTTCCAGGTAATTACTGAAATTACTAGAATTTCTTCTCATTTTTGAGGGTGGGCCTTCAAATCTATACATATACCAGTGTATGTACATGATATAAAGTGTGGAAATTTCCGTATTTACCGTAATTTCTTTTGGATTGTGGAGCTGATTTCTGAAATTCCCTAGGTGTTCTGTCGGTTGGTATGTTAAAATATGGTAATTTCTGAGAATTTTCTTTTTCAGTTAATGGCGATTTCTGAAATTACAAGGAAATATCTGTTGGCACAGTTGTATGTCTTTCGATATTCTGTTAGAAATTCGGTATTTTCTGAAATTTACTTTTTCGGAAATCTGAACATACCTCTCGGAAAAGGGACGAATTGGTCGTAGGATTTTCGAGTAAGAAGCATGAGTGAACTGAGAAGATTGACAAATTAGTCAATTCCGATGAATTCTGCTAGGTTCCAATGAATTTTGCGATACTTAAAAATCAAGTAGGATGTAACATCCGAGTGTACGGCTTACGCTCATGAGCGTAAGCGGTATATCCCTAATTATTATTACTTTTATTATTTATTACGAATAATAAAGTTCAAAAAATTGAAACTAATAAAAGCAACAACTGTTAAGTAATAACGTGTAATAATTATTACCGTAATAAATACCGACCCAAAGATATTACTTAGAATTTTTTAGTATCTATCCAGGAGGATTTCTTATAGCTGCTGGCGAACTACCGTGAGGTCGTATTAGGCGCGTCCAGGATCAGACCAGAACTGGCCCCTATAACTATTATGAGTCTACCTACAGGTGATACTCAGAACGTTTTAAGAATCATATAAGGGTCATACTTAGAAGTGTTTTGAGCCTGACCAAGGGTGGTACTTAGAAATTCTAGGGACTTAGTCAGAGGGAGTAGTCAGAAGTTTTAGGACCTACCCATGGATGGTCTCTTTAACTATTTGGGATCTACTTACAGATGATACGTAGAACTTTTAAGAAACTACCAAGGGGTGGTCCTGTACCTTTCTGGACCTACCACATGATGGTAACTAAAACTATGTGAAAACTTCCCAGGGCTGATCCGTGAAACATTTTAGTACGTAAATAGTGGCATCCCTTGTATTCTTTTGCGCAATGTGAGAGGGAATTCTTATAACTTATTCAGTCGTAACTAGGGATGAACCGAGACCAACACTCATCAATACTGAAACCGAGGCTAACCGCGAACAAGAGAGAGAGAGAGAGCGAGACCAAAACCTCGACCACGACGACTGAGATGGAGATGGAAAGTTTCGGTCTCGGCACAAACCTATTCGTAACTATTGGCAGTTTCTATAACTTTTTCAGTCCTATATAAGCATCATCATTTTAACATGTCATTTTGTTCAGCAGTGATATCTTCAAATTTGAAGTACCATCCTTAGCGGTCCCGAAAAATTCATAAGGACAACCCTTCAATAGATCCCAAATGGCTAAGGGAACCATTCCAGTGTAAATCCACCAAATTTACGGGGACCACCTCCAGGTAGAATGCAAAAGTCACAGGGATCACATCTAGATAGGACCTAAGGGATTGAAGGGGTTACCCTTAATTATGGCCCAAATAATACTAGCGATTGTGTGCAAATCAGTGAATAGAACTGTTTCAACAGTTCTTTCGTTCATTTGATCTGAACTACGATCTGAGAGCTGTTGTAGTCCTAGTGATGAGAAAATAGAAATAATTCCACGATCAAGTTCTTTATTGCTTTATTTCTTCCTTATTACTTTTAATAATTTTCCTGGCTTTCAGTTAGTATTATTAATTCGAAATAACAGCTATTACTTATTACCGGTAATAGTAACGTGCTACCCCTACTAGACATATATAATAAGATCCTAGCTTTGCTCCTTGGTAGTTTGCGGTAGTAAGATGAGCGAGTTTAAGAAACAAATATTCGGAAACTATGATTTTCCAAACTTTAATGAGCCTATTCTAGCGCTTATTGTCAATTCATCGAGTAACAAGTATTTAAATACATCGATTGAATATATTAGATAAGAAACTGTATGAAATACTATAATGTATTTTTATATGAATACAGCTAAAGTGGGTTCATTATTACTGATTTCTTGTATATTCTATTTGGAGAAGAAACGCTCACGCTTATCAGCACTTATGACCGTAAGCTGCATACCCCTAATCCACCAGGATCCATGTTTTTTTACGTTGTTTGCAGATTGCTGTAGAGCGAATCCATTTCTGGTGCATTGTGGTAGACTCCGACGTATTTAGTAGATTGAAGTAGCTTCTCATAGATTTCCGTACACTCCAGTCAATCTATTGTGCAATCTAATGCCCTTTATTGGGAGCAGAAGGTTCCAATAGGATCCACCAGGATCCACCAGAATCCACTAGGATCCAAGGATCCAGGATCCGCTTTTCCTCCTTGAGTTTGACTGATAAAGTGGGGTGTGGGTATCATGTGCCAGCTCATACACTCACACCCCATTTTTTCCCATTTGGAAAAGCATGTGAATTCCCATACGAGAAGATCATGACTTTTTATTCTCTACGTAGTTGCAGTTTATTTTATCGGTATTTTAATTCACGAAAGTATGAATCAATTAATACCGTAACTTGAATTGTAGTTTATTTCGCATATTGACCTAGTAATGTAATTACGTTCAATTTAAAATTGAATAATGTGATTAGAATAGTAAAATTAAAATAAATTTTTAAACAGAAAAAGATTCTTTAAAATTATATTTGTTTTTCAATTCTTACGTGTGATGCTTTTATTGGCAGATCGACTTTTATTGTGAATTTCTTTCAAAATAGCACAAATACCATGTGGCTACTAAATTTGAAAGCAGTCACATCATTTTTATCAAGGCTTTAGATTTTATAATTCGTATACTTCGCTTAAAATTATTTTCCTGCCTTTTGTCCTGAGCGCAACATAGAAAAAATTTGCAGTGTGATAGCTTCCGGTTGATTAATGAAATAAATGTAGATAATGAATCTCTTCATTTCATGGAAGAAGTATTTGAATATATCTGTTATCTCAAAACGAGATTGCTGATATAATTTTACAGAAAATATATTTTCAATTGAAAATTTAAAACAAGGCAACGATGTTTCATATTTGAATCGTAAATGAAGAATAATCTTGTACAGTGATTGTTCAAAGATCTACACAGAATTGAATATGGAATTTTCAACGAAAAGATTCTTGTTTGTCAATCTCGTTGAAAATCGATCAGAAATATAACTCTCAATTTCGTTGAAATTTATTTCCGAGCAAAATAGCAGTGCTGTTTCGACAATGTCATCTGTCTAGAAAATTTATGAATTCGAATATGAACATAAAAATCGGAATCATTTAAACAAATTCAATTAATGAACGATACGACTAATATCAATGATGGTGCATTACAAAAAAACTCAACAAGAGGAGATAACATATATTGCAGATAAAATGATAGAATATTGTGAAGATTAAAATACAACATTTGAAAAGCCCTGAGAAAAATGCATTCATACTATTTCATACAAAACTAAAAGCTTATTATAATCATAATATGAGGGTGTGGGGTTGGTCTGGGTTTGAGTAGCCATTACAATCACATTCACACGCCACCTACTCACATCCACACCGTCCGGGTTGAGCGAAAGAAATTTTTATTGAAAAAAAGAAAAAAAATACCGCACAACATACAATGAATTCAAGTTGGACGAGTGGTACCATGGCTGTTGCTATATTGCTGTGTGAGAATAATTTTTGCCCTGTTTCAAAACCACATCGACACTCAAAAAATGCAGATTGCACACTAGATTCCTCCTAAGACATGAAGAAAATGTATGTGTATGGGGCAGGGATTAATATTATGAATGATCGACGAAAGAAGAGAAGTGAAGAGAGCAAATATAGATTCACAAGGCTACGATACTGATGATTTGTGATTAATATAAGTAAATTGAAACTGTATATCCTTAGTCCTAGAGTTTAGTGATGTTCTGTCGCGTGAAACACTGATGATGCTTCCAAATTTTTCATAAATATTTCCGTTTGCGTTAAAAGATTTTTCATATGTGAGTAAGAGCATATATGTAATCCATGTTTTTCCTCTTTTTTGTACAATTCAATGTCCTCTACTTGCATTACACTCCAAAAAGCCACCACTGTATAAATAAAATGCTCAATCCAACTTATTTCGTATGCTTGCCAAAATTGTTCCCATGAATATGAAATTCCATTATCTTTTAATACATTATGATAGAAACGGACGAGCTCCCATGAATCTCCAATCGTATTTTCATGAACTGATGTAGCTATAAAATAAGCTACATCCATAGCAGCATGTCCAATGCCACACCATTGCCAATCAATAGCATATATTTGTCTCTCAGTTGAGTTGTGATCGATAAAAATATTTGAAATTTTATAATCGCCATGAATGATTGTGCGTGGTTGTAAATTATTAAAGAGAAGCATGATATCATTTAATCGTGATTCCAACAGAAAACCCAAATTGTTCGATGATTCCGATATTTGAAGCTCATAATGAAAATTTTGTACAGTCAAATTCCAAGCCTTTAATATGTCATTGTTGTTCGCCTTCAATGAAGTACAGATAAGATAGAGTTCAAACATCTAGCTATTTCAAACGAGAACGATGCTAAGCTACAATAAAACTACCTTGCATATTGGATGCTGTTTCGCTAGGTAGTCAAAAATTCAACGGTAAAATAATGTTTTGCCATTAAAACTACAAAAATGAATACTTCTTTTCCAGAGCTCCATTGTCATGAATCAGTTTGACGTTTTCTAATACTTACTGAGACCTACACAATACAGTCAGTCGGTTTTTTCGAAGTAATTATCGATCTCGAATATCCTCTCGTGAGTCTCGTGTAAATATGAGATCGTCGTTTCCTTTCAAGTTCTAAGGCACTAGAGCGCGCTGGTATAGTATATACTTCGTATGCTCCGCTCATGGATCTCGCCGTACCACAGGCATTGAAATTAAAACATCTCGTTTGACACTATTACAGGGTGTGGGTGTGGGGTGTGGGTGTGGGTGTGAGATTTACATGTGATCATCTTTCCATTGAAGATGAATACCCACACTTCACACCCTATGACGAACAAATTGAATCAGTCTTCGATCAATTAGAATTTGCCGATAGCGAAAGTTTACCAATTGGCCTTATTAGATATTATGAAAACAACATAAATTGATTGGGACCAAGGATCGAAGAACATTGCCACGTCGAAAACTAATCGTTTTCAAAGAAAATAGACATGTATATTGAAATGATGCATTTTTTTATTCTACTTTTTGTTATAGGACGGATAAATTATTTCAAGATTTAGAATAAAGTGATTCGACTGAATGGCAATCCAACTCGTTTAGTGATCTGATTGTCTTGACACTTTCCTTAAAAGTCATTTCGTATAGCGATATTAGAATATGTGACCCCTCGAATCAAATAGGTGTTTATGCAATTCACTGCTTGACTAATCAGTCTTCGAACAGTAAGACAACCATGCCAGTGATTGATTTCGCCCTCTAAATTCGATATATTTCCTCTAGATTTATATCGCCGAAGGGTATGGGTATAGTGTATGACTGACCAAAAGAATCATATGATAATTGACACCCACATTCGCACCCAAATTTGTTTTTGCTTTTTATGATTTGTATGAAATTAAAAAGTTCGTGCCAAATGTTTAAGATCAAAAAGAAAAATTCAATCCTAGTCGTGATGTTTGATGACCTCTTTTAATTTTTTTCTTTATTACTTATTTTATCAAACTAGTCGATTGATGACAATCAAATCAATGCATTTGAATGGCCGCAATAAATTGAAAGATATACCGCTGCTTTTCTTCTGATAGGTTCACGTTCGAGGGTGGGTGTGAGTTTAATAGAGTCAAACACTCACACCCTCAAGAATTACAACATTATGAATTTCAAATATTTGAAACATTTTAATTGGGAATATTATATCTGGTTGTAGCCTTTTTTCCTTTTGGAAAACGGAAGGTAATATCTACTGAAATAAAAGGTGGATCGGCTGGTGATCTTCCATATGTTAACCCCATAGCAACTGTTAAGAGATGGTCTTGACATTTTTGTGTTCGTCAGTAAAAGAATATACAATACAGATATGATTGTAATCATTCTAACAACAGTATTCCTCACATTAAATAACGTAAAATTTCAGTTTAGGTCAAATTGAATCAGAACTCGATGGGCAGTACTTGCTAAAAATTGTGTCTAAGTAATGCTTTAAAATAGATGTTTCAGCCAGTGAAACAGCCAAACTGCGTAATGTTTCATCTGATAGACCCTCGGCTTATTAATCGTAGGGAAATTATATGAAAATTCGATCGATCAGACTCCTGGAATATATGTGTGTGCGCATCACTTTGATGCACAGTTCATTTTCTTTTCTTCACTTAGTTTTCATTTTCATTGTATCATATATATGATCCGTGGACTGGTGAACAGTGAATAAGCGTTCGCTTCTAAAACTTAGGCAATGCAACACACTTATGCATTATATTATACACACGCGTTCTGCGTATAAAACCTGACTTAAATATAATGCATTTTCAATTTTATGATGAGAAAAAATACATATATTGGGTGAATATTGTTTTTTGTATAAAAGAGTCATCATTGTTGAAGTTACGCCAATCGCAACATGTCAATATCAATGTGTGTGACAGTTTCATTCTTTTTCACATCGTTGAATTTTTTCGCGAGTTTAATATAAATCTCTACGGATAATCTTCGATTTAATTTTTATATTATAACTTTTCAAACAATTAAATTTTGATTATTCTCTGATCGAATAAAACAGCTTACCAACACCAACAAGAGATGTGTTCACTAAAAAGATGTTGTAATCTACAATTTTTTGAGATTAAACACCAAGTTCGTTTCTATAACTTTGCGTCAGATTATAACGTTGTGAAACAAGAGATAAATAGAAAAAAATTAGATCCAGTTTCAAATGAAACAAAAAAACTGTTATTGATCATGAATATTTTTTTAATTATGTATAAATTAAAAAGGAAGGAAGGTTGGCTGGTAAAAAGCCAACTACAGCACCACCATGAGCTACTAGATTAGGAGACTTCTCAAATATAAAGATTCATCTGAAGATAATAAACCACAAGGAATACCTGCATAAACAGTACTCATTACATGTATCGCTACCATGCTAAGCCTTCTCAGTGAATCATACAAAATTAGTGACATCTATATTATGTTTTTATCATTAAACCCAAAATCCTTTTGCATATTTCTTAGTTGGCGTTTTTTAGTTAGAAATAAATTAGAATCTTAATTCGTAGTGCGCGTGTATGTAGTAAGTGTAGCTCAGAAACAAATGTATGATACGACACCAATCCGTTACACCAGGCCATAGATCAATAATAGAACGAAAAAGAAATAAATCATGACAAGACGTATTTTTCATTTTATTTCTTTCGTTTCTTTCAATCGTGATATATAATACACAGTATTATCTTCTTACCAACTAGATAACTGCTTATGACACTTAGCACATAGTGGTTTCAATTTACAAGACAACTAGCAAGCAGAATAGATTACCACATTCACTACCAAGGTAAAACGTAATTTATATATCGACCAATGTGTTCTTGTCAGTTGAATACGAAGGATCTATCAACTTGTTAGTTTATTTCTTTTTGTGTCTTTTTTTTGCAATGATTTTGCTATCATCAGAATAGAGGGGAAATGAGACGATTCAGCGATTCAGATGTGCATCTTCAACCATCCTATATATTTGCCATTGTTGTTGTTCTCTCATTCTTACTATTAAAAGTACGACAGAATAAGAAGAGTATCAGTCACTTATACCAGTATCACCGTCTTACCATCGTACGATCAATAGAAAGAAAAACGACAATGATGCGAGAATAGTCCGATTATTGGAGATAATCGAGTGCAGCCATCAATTTATTCATAAGAATCAGCGTGCGAGCTCTCCATCAGTATTTGTCTATTTGGCTGACTCATTAGTTGTAAAATTATCATGGAGAGAAAAAAGTCGTGAGAATTCCTCACAATGATTCGTCAGATATGTTTACGAGGAACATTTTAAAAGCTCACGAGTAAATACTTTGCTGCCATTGATAGGACTCACTGATTAATATTCGTACTTTATATCTTCAGGGTTATGACTATTTCAGCGGATATTTAACCTAGCATAGGAAATTTTGAAAATATCGAATTACCGAATTTTGGCTTAACTGTTTTTCTCGGAATATTGACTTCTCCATAACATTCACTTTCAACAATTAGAGATGAAGACTATTTTCTTTGAACCTGTGGTAACTGGTCAAGAAAGAATGCCCACGCAGAAGTAAGTAAAAATTCGACGAAAAAATGTCAATTTTTGATGGTAAAATCCTGTCAAAAAATATTTTTTCAATGAAATCCTAAACATAGTTTTACATTAAATTCATTCTAACGAAGAAAAGCACGTGACTTTTTGCTAAAACGCTATTCTTGTATGGCTTTTGTAATGAAGAGTATGACATTTATTTCGTTAAATCTTTTAAATTTCTATGTAATTTTGCATGGATACAGAAACATAAAAAATGATTACCGAATTGATCATCTAAGAGAGGAAACTGAACTCTATAGGCATAGTTGTCAACATTATTTAGTCACTTATTTTGACCATCCTCTGAGAGATGATATTTCTTGAGTAAATTCAAATATGCTAAAGTAAAATAAAGATGATTTCGTTGAGTTGTGCCGCCTCTTCCTATCGATTGTATAAAGAATACCAATGGTCCAATACATTTAATCATAAGTTAGACTCAGATTCTATTGAAGAAGACTCATTGAAGGATATGGATCTTCTATTCATCGTTGCCCTGAACCTAAATTAATAAGGAAGAATATCTCCACTCTCAAAAAATCAAGGTATAGTTATCATTTAGCTCGATTCGACCACAAAAACCGTTTCGATATGTATTCCGTTGAAGTATTCCATAAGCTTGATGCATGTATCGAGTTTCTGAAGAATCACTGCGATCATACTCATTCATAAAGATATCAAGGTCACAGATATTACACGTAAACAGGTGTTTTAGAGTTTCATCGTACCAAGAATAACACGCAATGTACAAGAAGTAAACAGATTTTCGAATTTTGTTTTGGCTTAAAGAATTATTAAAACTTACAAATGATATCGTCGTGATCAGTTCGTCATACTCTATCTGATAACATGTAAACTGACGAGAAAATTCGAAAAAAAGCAATCATATGCCTATTTAAGGAAGTGTTCATATTTTTATGAAATAATGTTCGTTATTCCCTTCTTGATAAAAGAAAAAAAACACGGTAGTTGCAAAGTACGTAATTGTAGGTACAATGTGAAATAGGATTCAATGAGAACATGGATAAGGATACGATTCTCATGCCAAATGACTTGTTCTATTTTGCAATCACCTCATTTATATTCACTAATTTTCAGTGTTGACTGCCAATATTGTAATATGATCTCTTAAGGAGTTAACATATGATTTCTAATACAAATCCATTGTAATACGCTTTGTTGAGTGTTCTCTACTCATTATTTTGATTTGAACTATTTCGTTTAGAACATATAAACAGCAAATACAAAAATCATGGCCAACCATCTACTATCAATCGAAGGACTACCAAAATTTTATTCTATTATTTATCATCACTTCGTCGAAATGTCGATTATTGCCTTTGCTGACCTTGGACTTGCTGATTTATTGGCCGAGGGCACTTCTTCATCAGGTCATACTGCTGAAGAAATTGCTGATAAAAATAATTGGAATTCAGACCTGATCCATCGAATACTTCGAAGTTGTTCAGATGTTGGCATAGTCGAGCAAATCGGCGATGATCGTCATTTTGTCTTAACAAAATCTGGTAAATTGCTCACTAGTGATCATCCGTCAAAAACGCGCAATTTTCTTCGATTTTCTCTGGGGTCATGGGCACGCGGTGTAGGGTCTGCTGTGTCACAGATTGTACGCAGTGGACCTGAACGGAATAACAGTGATATATATCACTTAACAGATGGCGTCAATCTCTACGACTGGCTAGCTCGACCGGAGCACAAAGAAGAATTAGACATTTTCAGCGGTGCGATGACAGCACTTTCATTGCAAGGACTAGATGTTGTGGTGGCCGGTGTTGATTTTTCACATTTTCGGTTCATCGTTGATTGTGGCGGTTGTGGTGGCACATTTCTTGCTCATATCCTTAAAAACAACCCAAACGTTGAGCAAGGCATCGTTTTTGACATGCCACATACAATTAAACAAGCAACAAATCATGAGTTTGAAATTCGCAAAATCGAGTCTTCACGATATAAATTTGTTGCTGGTGATCTGCTTGATCCAACAACAATTCCACCGAAAGCGGATGCATACATTATTAAAGATGTCCTCGAAAGTTTCGACGATGAGAAGACGATTTCGGTTTTCTTGTCGGTGCGCCAAGCCTGCGAAGACAAAGCTAATGTAGCCGTATTCATTGTGGAAGCTGTCATTTTACCTGACGATGGAACGCGAATTAATTGGTGCGCAAACGGACTGGATGTCTTCTTGTCAGCAGGTTTTAACGGTAAAGTGCGAACTGTGGACGAGTATAAACGCTTACTCAATGCGTCTGGACTAGAATTTGTCAAAGTTCATCCAATTAATGCTCCTGCTTCAATTATTGAAGCATGCGTCAATCCTACACGACAAACGTGAGGATATCCTGATCATTTTTGCTGAACATCTGCCTGAACGATGGCACTGCTCTTTTCAAATTCACACAAACGACATTCTCGTGTTTAGATTTAGAATATTTCATTATTATTGTTTTTCAATTCACACTAAATGATATTCTTACTCCTTAATTTCACCGTATTCAATCAGCACATCTCGAAAGCATTACTTCTGTTCAAATACCCATTGAATTTATCGCTAGGATGAAATAGCTGAAGTCAGATTTTTCTGACTTTTTTGATTTTCCTCTTGATTTTTCTAATTTAAAACCAACTAATTTCAAATAAAAAAAATCAGAAAAATTAAAAAATAATAGAAACTAAAAAAATCTGATTTCGCTTTTCCACTGTAAATTGATGCTTTGTCGATCAGTATAGGTTTTGATGGAAAGTTTTGTTAGGACACAGAGCTCAAAACTCCATTATGAATCGGCAGATAACACGTAATTGAGGACAGTTACTCATGAATTTCTATAATGTGACAATGACACTCCTGTCTTGTCTCATTTTGCTGAGTCTGATGTGTTTATAGTTATTTTAATTCCAGACAGACTTTACTATTCATGATGAGCTTAAACATGGTCTAACAAACACACTGATTAAACTGTGAGGTACATTTGACCTACGAAGTACAGGGTGGCCAGTCTATTTTGAAACGATTTTCGTGGACTTATTCTTCCTCATTAACTGATTCGGCTCTCATAAATCTCATATCAATGTATCCTATAAAGACTGTACATTTTGCTCTAATAATTAGATTTTGTATAGAAGAATGTTTTCTGATAAAGCACTGGATAATTTTAAAAAGATCATTTTAACATTTTTGAGAACAAGCATATTTGCTGGTACCACCAGAAATGAACCTTTTCGATTATTTCTCCATACTATCGTCTTCTGACCTGAGACATATGTCACAGGTACATCCACTATTACCGCATCTATGCTAAAAATTTCAGCAATAAAGAGCGGCAATTCATAGAGAAATCAGCAAGTGTTTCAAAAATATAGTTGAAGTGAAACACATTCAAGATATGTTTAGCTTCAGCTATAAATTTGAAACACTTGCTGGTTTCTCTATGAATTCTCGTTCTTTATTGCTGAAACTTTTAGCATAGATGCACAGCTATAGTGGATGTACCTGTGATATATGTCTACGGTCAAAAGACGATAGTATGGAGGAAAAATAGGAAATGATTATTTTAAAAAATTTGAAAATAACCTCTTCAAAGTTAGTCCAGTATTTTATCAGAAAACATCCTTCTATACAAAATCTGCCTATTATGGCAACATGTACAGTCTTTATAGGATACATTGATATGAGATTCATGAGAGCCGAATCAGCTACCGAGGAAGAACAAGTCCACGAAAATCGTTTCAAAATAAACTGAACACCCTGTAGTTCATTTCATTGTTTACTTAGTGAGAACTACGCTGCTCTTTGTACTCGTGGTAAAAGTAATGAATATATTCCTAGTATGTTCCAAAGATAACTCGAATAATCTAGTCAAGACTATCGAACTATCTATTTAATAATTACTTTCTATCAGTCTAGTAGAGGATGTGAGTTTGAGATACAAGATTGTCCGATAGCGCACGAGCAATTCTGATTGCTCAACTGTTCTCTAATGTCGTTTCGATTATTCTTCATCTGAGTGTTGTTCGTAGTTTTTCAGATAAAGAATGGTTGCAAACCAAGGGGGAAACATCGCACTTTTGTACTTTAAGTACTTTGAGGTACTTCGTGATATTTTCAAGATTTCGAAATACTTTGATATACTTTAAGGAGTCAAGGTACGACGTTTCCCCCTTGTTTCAAACTCAATAACTTTTGTAGTTTCCTCGGCGTGGATGTGAATGCGATAGTACTGCTGTCATTCACTCCCACCCACGCCCCATTTTTTAACAATTTCAAATGCTAATACTTTAAATCTTGATAAAGGTAGACGTTCACGAATTGTATTTTCCTGTTTTATAACATTGTTTGTGGCATCTAAAGCATTATTGGTAGTTGGTGTAAAATGATCAACTTCTTCATACCATACATTATGCGTTGGTAACCATTCGTTTTAGAAATATCCTATGAAATTTGATTCGTTTTTCGGCCATTTTTTAACAAAAAAATTTGACTCTTTTATAAATATGCGTTCATCTTGTGCTAACTATAATGATTCTACATCATTCACTAAATCTTCTTGTTCTGATTTCTTTACCATTGACTCTATCCTTTTCACTACATTTCTACGCATATGTGCCCAACACATAGCCATTGTTTTTTTCTCCAAAAACACCTTGAAAAGCATTACGTATGACATCAGCACCATCAGCAATTCAAAAATCTGAATTAATTTCTTCTAAATTCAACTTTTGTATACGTTCTTGTAAAGCAGGAAATCTAAATCTAAAATCCTGTATCGTTTCATTGGAACAAATAGCCATACCAAATAAATGAAAATGTCAATCAAGATCAGTTGTACCAACAATAAGAACTGGAAATCCTTGCCACACCAATTTATATGTTGCATCAACATTGGTTTTTTCAGCTTATTTAGAAAATGAGCTATTAAGTTAGGATAGACAAAAGAGCAAACAAAGGGACATCGTTGAGAATTTTCTCCTTTCTTAAATCGAGAACAACTATGTAACATAGTATCTTTTGACTGATGACGTCATCATCTGTCAGTGTGGACAAATGTTGTTCTATTTACATCAAAATACACATAAAAAAATAGAAGTGATTTACTGATAAAAATACTAGTTTTTACTGAAAAAATGTATTTTTGAAACAGCAAACTGAATTGATTACTGAAACTCTAATTTTAATACTGACCAAACAATTAATTAACTGCGCAAACGCAATAGTTACTGAGCATTAAATTTTACACTGACAATTTGATATTTTTACTGAACATTTGTATATATAATACTGAACGTTTAATTTGTCGTCGTTTAAAAGAATCAGAACTAGGCTCTAAGTATGAATGGAACTACGTTGATTTTGTAGAATGGTGACACTGAACGTTTTCGATTCGATAGTGATCTGGATTTTCACAATGCAGATAATATATATCGACCCAGAATATTGCTTTCTATCGCAAACTGGAATCTTGATCAGAAGATCACTTTTTGAGGGTGTGGGTGTAGGGGTGGGTAATGAGAAAACTGAGACCCTCACCCACCCACACCCACATCCTAGCTGTTGATTTTCATCGCTGTCATTTAGTTGACGTCGTATTGCAGGAGAAAAGGACACCGAGGTTTGATTTTGGGAATAGGTTTGCGGTCGTGACGTAGGCGTTGATATATTAGGTGACTTAGACTGATATACATTTAACTCGTTCATCAGTAGTGGGATTAAAACTGTATTTTGATTTCTATTCACTGGTGACATCATGATAGCACGATGTCCGATTGGGTCTGATGAATTAGACTGCTGACGATTAACTATTGGTGAATTGGATGGACGATATTTTCGGCCAGGATTTTTCATGGACTGTATGTATTGGTAGTTGTTCAAGTGAGATTTCTGTTGTTTCCAGGTTGATCAAAACGGACTCGTTTACAGTCTGTTTATCGACGGTAAATGATGTCAAAAGGGTATATTTGCGGCAGTAAATAGGCCGTATTTGCCCGTAATACCTGGCACAGTAATACGGTACCGTAAACGGGACTGGATTTTCATGGTTTACGACTGTTTGTGCTTCGTACTCTCATGATCATACGGTCCGTATTACTGTGCCAGATATCACGGCAAACTTTCGCCCGGAAAATAGTCGTAAAGTAACCGTATAGGGACCGTACTGTTCGACCTGGGTTCTTTTAATTTTTGAACGCCCAGGTTGAAGATGTATTGAAAATAATCTAGTTCTTGGTTGGAACCGATTATTTTATTGGGACTGGAGGTGGACATGATCGACATTAAACGGTTCTTCGAACCGCAGATGTCTTTTGAGAACAGGTAGATAAGCTGGTAAGGAAAATGTACGTCTTACTTTTAGCTGATTTGTGAGCGATGTGATTTTGAAAGGCATTGTGTGAACTTAATAATTGTTTTAAATCCTTTAATGTAACTTTAGCTGGTACTTTGATTTTTAGTTCTTCGGCTAAGATCTGCAGTCCCTTAGATTTTCCCATATTTTTCCCGGTCGTAAAATAACAATCAAGTTTTTGCTGTTGTCCTTTATCATCCGTGTATTTAATTTGATCCACGGGACAGCGTGTTCCTAATTTCATACCAAAATTTTCTAGTGAAAATTCTTTAGCACTATCTGTGCGCGTGTTGTCTACTACAATATTGATCAAATGATTTTTATATGCTTCCTTGAAAGGTAACATTTTGAATAAGCGAGTAAATTGACTAATCCCTGCGTCGTTATCAAAATAAGCTCCATGGTCCACTTGAATTGACGCAGAAGCTGATCTTTCAATGTATTCAATAAGATTGTCTTCCATCAGTTCAGGATATTGTGCAACTGCTGTTGCCCACTCAGACTGTGATAGTTGAAAAAACGGTTTTTTTGGATGAGAGACCAAGAAATCCGATAACATTAGTGATCGCCCACGTCCTTTGTTAAAAAATGGGGTGGTTTGTTCAGAAAAAAAACCAACGTTTTGCTGATGTTTCTCCGCTTCTGAAGCAGGATTCATCATGAACTAAATCAGAATACAACCAAAGAAATACCAAGAGATTAAGAGCTCAAACAGATAAAACCCATACAAAGCAAAATCGTAGGATTATTTTGTGGAACGATCCATTGAGGATTGTCACCTTCGCTGATCAAATAGTAATTGTCTTTTTTAGGTAAAAAATTTTGAACAAAAGTTTTTCGAGCTTCAATCACATCGATTCGTTCGTGTCCAGCCCAATACGGCTTAGCAGTGTTCTTTTCAAATTTGCAGTCCCAACGACGAAGATCTAGGCGGCATGCTTTTTCTGATCTAACCAAAGTATTGGTAGTCTTTGTCTATGCAATAGAAAAAAAACTAAGTAAAAAGAACAACACAAAACTATATTAAGGTAAACTTTAAAACTATTCAACAGTGAAAAACATTCCTTCCCAGCTGCTATTAAAATTTTTACATCCTAGTGAATATAAATCATATAAATATTTCAGATCCTCTCACCTCTGCTGTAAAAGCATAGTAGTATTTGTCCAAATATTGAGCTAGCTCTAAAGAAGTAAACGACGCCGATTTCCTCTGGCAGCCTTCCAAAGCATATAATTTTGCCATATTTTTTAATTCAGGAAAGGCGTCGAAGAAGCTTGGTTCCCGTTGACCACCTCTGCAATCTTCAAGAAACTCGTCTAGATCACCATTAATGAAAATCTCACTCCATTTGTGACAAGGTTCAGCACTCAGTGAACCAATTTGGCTTAAAAACAAATCCACTTTTCTCCAGGATACACCAAAATATGTTAATGATAAATAAATTAACACTAATAATGATCGTAAAGAATTCTGATTTTTCAATATTTCAAATAAATCACCGATGTCCAGTATGTTAATTTGTCCTTTAATAAGAACTCTTCTTGTTCATGTGCACTTATATTGCTGGAATTCATTAAATCCTCTTCTTATGAGTCATTATCTGATTTTTCGAATATTTCCGTTGTCCACCTTCTTTTCGCAGCCGTCGCTGCACGGCATTTTCTTTTGGATTTTTGTGGCATCAAAACAAGTGAAATCTTTCACTAGAAAAAGAAGTTGATAAAATTTTTAAAAAAATCTCTAAAAGATTTTTCTCTAAATTTACAATAGTTTTGTTTTATTTCAAGCTATTCTTTTACTACTACAGTGGACAAGTGATGACTCATTAACCAATATATATATATATATATATATATATATATAACAGAACTGAGCTTCCATGAAATATTTATAGATGGGAATATCAACTGCTACACTATTAGCAATACAAAAAATGATAGTCAGCGAAAACTAAAAGTTTCAGCTGTTAAGTCGTTTTCGAAACGATTCAAACATCACTTTTGTTGAATTTTTAACCGTTTTAAATCAATAAAAATACGGAAAGATAAACTTTGAATTAAAAATTCTCTGCAAAGTGATGAATCATCCTGCCGATTTAAAATTTTATGAAAATAAAGATCATATGCCAAGAAAGAAAGCGAGTTAATTAAAAAGAATGCTTATTTTTTATAAGCCTACTATGATGAATATACTCATAATGAAATAAAAGCATTATGTTTGTTAAAAAATTACTTGATGCATTTTCCATCGAAAGAAGTGGCGATTTCGAGTAGATGATATAAATGGAATTTTCTCGAACATAAAAGAAAACGCTAGAAAATTCGTAACTATATTTTCAGAATCAGTTTGTTATGTAGATTAAGAAAATCAATCGTTTAACATTGCAATAAATGTTATATAGGAACTGTAGGAAAGTTTCTAAAAAAAAAGTCAGATTTTGTGAAATTTGAATTTTTACAAGTTTTTCGATTTTTCATTACTATACAGTAGGTTTTTTCAAATATGCTATATATATTCGGATTCAGCATGTCAAGTTGTACCTAAACATAGATTAAAAATTAAAAAATTAAGACTGCTCGAGTTTTGCGTTTCCTTCACCTTAAATAGCAGCTTACTCTTTCTACTAGTTGCACACAATTGTGATTTGTATAAATTACTAATAGCAAACTATTACTAAATACTTATTTTTTAATGAAATTTTTGAATAGTAAATAGAGAGACTATCGCGTAGTCAATATTAATATTTTAAAGTTTAGAGAAAAAACATCAAAAATTAACGACTGAAAGATTATCAAGTTGAGGACAGACAACAGAAAACACATGTTGAAGTTTATAAAAATTCACACGTCAGTAGTAGCGGTGACGTGTTGTACGTTAACAGTTAAATACAGCAACTTAACGCATAAATATATAGGCCTCTTGGGCTTATTGCGCATTGTCTAAAATATCCGAGTAAATATTTATGATGTAGAACTCACCACGATGTCATCAAAGTTGTTAATGCACTTGTAAAGATTATAAATGTTCTATTTCATACTTGTATTTGCCTATAGAACATGAATTCATGATATTAAAATGCCACATCATAGCATACACCTAAATTCACCATTAGCAATTGTTGCTTGACTACAATGAGCAACCACAATAGATCGACTTTTCTTCTATTATTAACTTTTTCTAGCTATGTTTTATGTAGATAAGTTCTATACTTCATCACGCTTGATAAGCACAAAACAACGTAAGTCAAGAGAAAAATATTCACAATAGAATGCATTCATTATCAACATCAGCGGTGTCTCTTCATAGTTATGTTGGATCTAATACTAATGAAAAGAAATTATCAAAAACATCTGATAAAAAAGTTTCTATTATTTATTTTCTTGCATTGTTTTATACATTTCTATCGTTGGGATTCGGTTCTGGCCTTATTGGGCCAACATTACTTAAATTCGGTGAACAAATAAACTCTCCATTGGATCGAGTTGTTTATATATTATTTACACGTTCATTTGGATTTTTAGTTGGTACTTTAGCCAGTGGATTTCTTATTGATGCTTTTCCTCTATTGGGTCGAACGTTTTTAGCATGTTCACTTTTTTTCATGTCTGCAGCAACAGTAATCATTCCATTTATGTATCATATTATACCAATGATTATTGTACATTTAATGTGGAGTTTAACAGCTGGTGTAGTTGATAATCTTTCTCAACTTTTAACTATACGTTATTATGCACAAGTAAATGTTAATCCATATTTACAAGCACTTCATGGTGCATTTGGTGTTGGAGCTTTTCTTTCGCCGTTAATTATCGCACCATTTCTTCAAGATGCAAGTCCACTTGATCAATGGCATTATGCTTATTGGTTAATCGGATGTTTACAAATACCGAATCTAGTTTGGATTTCAATCTATGCTATACGTGATGAATTATGTTCAAAAAAACACAAAGAAATTACTTTAGAAAATAAAGAAGCCACTTTTGAAGATAGAAAATTAGAAACAACGATTGTACCCGATGATCAAACGAAATCATCTGGAAAAAAACTTTTTCTAGCTTTAATGACAATATTTATTCTCTTGTATGTTGGTGGAGAATCAGCTTTCGGAGCTTATATACATACTTACGCAAGTTTACATTTAAATTTTAAAAAAGATATAGCTGCATATCTTAATTCTGTATTTTGGGCTTCATTTACCCTCAGTCGATTTTGTGGTGTAGTACTGTCAATCAAACTCTCTCCAATACAAATGCTTATGACAGATTTAATTGGTTGCATTGGTTCCATGTCATTATTATTAATTTTAAATAAATCATCATTGATACTTTGGATTGGTTCTGTTTTATTCGGATTATCGGTTGGATCAATCTATCCATCGGCTATTGCTTTTACTGAAAAACAAATATCTTTAACAGGCAGACGAATATCAATTTTGGCTGTTGGAGGTTCAGCTGGCGATGCAGTAATTCCACTATTAATTGGTTATATGATCAATCCAAAATTATTAGGACCTATAGGCTTTATTTTAATTTTATTAATAGTAATTATTTCAGCTTCACTGCTTTATGGATTTACGCTGTTATATGTTAACTTTCAGTTTAAGAAAATGAAAAATACTGAGAAATAAATATGTTGAAGCTTAAAAATGGCAAGAAAAGATCACTGGTTTCTGTCAAAATAAATTAAATAATAGTCTTTTCGCATGTGAATTTAGTTATGATGTTTCAAATTTTTGACATAATCCTGGCGGGATGGATGTGTATCACCATCGGGTCGATTGACTGGTGTCCACACGGGTTCACCAAGAAAAAAGCGTCTAACATGAATAAAATTTTTGCTGTCAGGTATAAATCGATGATACATTCCTTTAGAACAAAGAACAAAGAAATAATAATAAATTAATCGATATACGTTAAGAATTGTTTCCATTACCAGCTGGCAGAATAATTAAATCTCCAGGGAAAACATGAATTCTCATCCATTTATCATCGCAATCACGTACATCAAAGAAGCCTGAACCGTCAAGTACGAGGCGAATTTCTTCATCGGTATGTATATGTTCAGCAAAGAACATTTTTAATTTTTCTTCATATTTTTCCATAGATGGTTGCACTTTTACTTCATCCTCGTACGTGTATCTATATATCGCATAAATTAAAAAAATAACAGCCCTCAGTAGTAGTAAATAAATTGAATATTATCGTCTCAAAAGAACAATCTTAATAGATTTTGGTTTTGTGTCAAAAGATTTCTCATGTTTACCCTCGATCTTGTTTAAGTTTTGCCAATGAAGGGCATTCATTATTAGCAAAAGTCTTCTCTGGCTCAAAATGCCATACTTGAACACCAGTACGGTCACATAATGTAGGTACATCAATATCCTTCAATCGGTGATCATCTTGTGGATTATCTTGTACATCGTCCATATACCAACATCGTACCTATGTATATCATTAATCATTTACAAAATTCAAACATAAAATTGATTATACCATGATAGTAGTTTGTTTTATTCAAATCTAAAATTAGAAAAAAGAATGGCGAATACAACTAATTATATCACCTTTTACAATCAAGATGATTAAGGATAAGAAGAAAAAAAGAAAAAGAAAAAGAAAGAGAGAATAAATCGTTTTATTTATAATTTTGCTTTCATTGTCTTCGCCGTATTAACTTCAATTAAAGATCGTATATCTGTAAGACTGCTATTAAAATGGTTGGAAAATTCTATTGGATTTGTTCCTCCATTATTTATTTTGAAAGTTGTTACCATGTAATTTATTGAATCATTACGTGGATTATAACAACAACCATCTAAATTATTTGAACTTAATAAAAGCAAAAATAATAAAAACAAATAACTTACAGCCATCATCAACTGCCGGCCCATAAATCATTACGCAATCATGTTTAGCTCCAACCTAAAATGTTCACAAGACCCTTCGATTTTTTTCTTCTAACGATGCTAAATTAACAAATTACTTGACTTGTTGAAAGAATGTAATGCATTGCACGTTTATAACTTATATGATTATAAAGAGCAGGTTTTGGTAAATTATTTTCAGCTGCAATCAATCGTAACCCCAAGAGATGTCGATCAATACCTTTAGCATTTATTGCCTACATTCAAATTGAATTATAGAAATAAGAGAGTATTTTTTAAAATATTTGATCTAATTTACATCAGTAGTATATTGTCGCTGCGCTTGCATAGCTTTAAGAAATAGCTCATATTTAGTATTCGATCCTGTTTCATTATGTTGTTCACTCATAGCACGAGCAAATTGTTGTGCTTCTAATGTACATGAACGAATAGTTTCAGTTCGACCAAGATGATAACGACGTAAAGAACCACTTTCATAAGTAGCACCACATTTACCATGCATTCTAAAAGTAATCATTGAAATTCATATATTCCAGAAAGTCAATAAGCCGAATCTGTAAATTCGAAATAATGTTTGTTACTGATTATGACATCGAACAATGATGAAGTTTTTTTTTCATGCGAATTGGGATTCTCTGTATTGTGTGGATTCTATTGAGCGATGAAAAATTGGTGAAGATTTCAACATCTTAACTTGTGGCTATTGAAATATCAATATGTCCCAAGTATTCTTTTAAATATCAGTACAATTTGAACAAGAAGCATCAATCAAATTTAGAATTGAAAATGTATGACAAGATAAATTGCAATACAATGAGTTTGATGAGAGAATGACAGGTCATTCAAAATTACTTCAGAGTTAGAATTACTTTTTTTTTAACTACGAAAGAGGCAGCAGATTCAATAGAAATCAACTTGTTTCTATGATGTTGTTTTTCCAGATAAAGATATGCGTACGTGAACAATTAAGTTGTTCATGTCATTCAGATCCATTAACATATGTACTTCTATTGAACTTATTACATAGTTAAAGCGAGCTTTGAAATCTATTGTAATACTGACCGAAAATAGGCAACTTGTAAAGCAACTTGAATCATTCCATCTAAAAAAAAAGAATTCCACGATTTCTATTTATTCAAATTTTATCTTCTTTTTTACCTATGCTCAATTTATTTTGTTTAGCAAATTCTTTACCAAATTCAGGATATTTATAAACTGTTAAATCACAATTTTCAATAAATCTATAAATCGTAAAAATGATATTGAAAAACGAAACGGTTTTTATTCCTACTTATTAACACGTTTTTCACTTTCGCTAATCGATTGTTCGACATCTTTCGGTATAACAACTTGACATTTGTTTAATAATGATGGTTTATTGGTAGACACAAGTGGTTGTGTTGTTTTACTAATAGAAAGAAAATTGTCATCATATGAAATGATTTCATCAAATAATATTTTACCAGTGATCAAGAACATAATCAACAAGAGCTGTAATTATTCCACCTTCGGCTAATGAATGTTCATAATTCACACCACTATAACCATCAGGTGCTACAATAACCTTAAAATGAAGATCAATTTTCTCTTAGATGTAAACAAAGCTAGAAAGAGATTCAGTTGTTTTTCTACTTGAAGCGTTTTATCAAACCATCGATTAGCTGTATTATATTTGGTTCCACCACCATGTAGAAAATTGAGACCGATTAATGTTTGAGTATCTTTTTTTATTGCCGTTCCACTTGATGATTGATAGTTCTCATCAAGACATAATACAAATAAACTGTCATTTATCGTGTCAAAAAAATTTTTATTTTCAGGAACTAAAAAAATAAATAGCTGAATGATTTTTTTTTTATTCTAATAAATTTGTACCCAATGATAATTGTTCATGAATAGGTGCCCAAAGTTGTCTTTCATCAGCTGTTAAATGACCAATTAGTGTTTGTTTTTCATCGGATCCTTTTGAGTCAGCAAGTTTTTTCAACGAACTATAAATATCCGCAGCCGACAATTTATTTCCTTGATCATCATATACTGGCAGTCGATATATCTTGAAGAAAAAATTATTTATGCAACTATTCGAAAAGAAAATTTAAATTATATTTACATTATTTCGATGAAATACTGCAACATGACGATGACCTGTTTTATTATATAGATGAAGTCGATCAATGGATTTGGCCGGAATACGACATATACCGAGAACTTTTCTATATTGATCCATACAGAGTGGATCTGAACCAAAACGATCAACTGGTATCTGATTGCTAAAAAGAATTGAGTTCATTTCAGTTATCAAATAATTTTAAAAAAATAAGGGCTTCTATAATGTTTTTGTTTTGTACCAGTAGATTCTGATATGAGCACTCTTGTCTAGTAGAGAAAGTTTTCCTTTACACATTTGAAAAGACTGGTCGCTATTCGGTTACAATCATCTGTTATATTCTACAAAAGTCTAACTATCGCTTAACATTGAGAGAGTTGATTTTCAAAAGCGCTTCAACAGTTTTCTAGAACGGAAAAAGTTCGATCCAATAACACTTACACCTGCTCTTTGAATTTGAACTATTTTTTGAGTCTTAATAAAATATTTCAAATTGTTATTTGATTTTATGGAAAAATCAAAAAAAAACTTCTATATTACCTATCAATTAATGATCGATACTGTAGAATGCCTTGGATAACATGAGCTGCAAATTGAATTTGTCCATCAAAATCTCGATATGATTGTCGGGGTAATAATAAAGCTGGATTATAAAATATAGGTAAATTTGAACGCCATTCAAGATATACTTTGTCAAGCCACCATTGTGATAACTAGTTGATATAGGAAAGCAAAAGTATAAGTTTAAGTTTCGTAGTTTTTTCTTCTTACCCAATTTTCTTCTGTGTCAGCTCGTTTTAATAACAGCTCTTGTAATGGTTTGCTCTCATGTTGAAATTCTTCAACAATCTTAATAGACAATCAATTGTTTGATGAATATGCACTTTTATATCGACAAACTTTTTTCGTCTCATTAAATTCATCGTTATTAAGTAATGGTGCAACTGTTTTTAAATATTTCCGTGCTGTATCAGCTAACGTTGGTACTGGCAATCTAATAAGTAATAACCATTTTGTTCAACAACAAAAAAAACTTAGCAATACTACAATGTTTCGTATTTCACCTAGGTAAATTAGATTGCTGTGCAGAGCAAGTTGACGTCGTGCGCACCATACTTCGCAATGTTGTTATCGACGGACGATGAAACGGAACAGAATGAAAAGACGCAAAATGTTGTCTTTGATAAAGATCAAATGACACCTGTGCTTTTTAAAGTTAGATTATCTTTTAAAAAAGAAACAAATGTTTTACATTTCTATTGATGAATAATGTCGCACAAGTTCGACGAACTGCTAAACTCATTTTTACAAAAATTAATTATCTAAAGAAGTATACAAACAAAACAACAACAAATTTACATTTAAGAAATTTAAATTTAAATTAGGCGATTTTACAGAAATAAAGAAAAACAGTTAAAACCAGCTATTAATCTTTTATATTTATTTGTGATATATCTTTTGTATTTTTTAATGCAAATGACAGACATAATTGTCGATCTCGAACATCCGACCATCCGCCATTGATTTGTTTAAGTGGACGTTTTGCTTCATATTTAGCATGTATGGTAAGAGGTTTTTTTGGAAATAAATACTGTTGATTAGTTTCATAAAATTTTTTAGTTTCATCCCATCGAGCTATATCCGATTGATTTGAGCAAGTTTTTTTATGATGTATACCACTAAAAATAATTATAAATCAATATTTTTACAAACAAAAAGCGTTTTTTTGTTGTTGATTATTTTACCATGAACCAAGATGAATAACTCGAGCAGAAGTTGACCAAATAACACGAGGATAATTGAAATGTTTTTGTGCTAAATAGACAAGGGACCAATCCCAATTGTAATCGTCGACATTACAGAACGCTTCAGCATGTTTTACTATGGAGCACCAAAACGAATAGGTAATTGTCATGCCCAAATTATATCTGGCATGCCAATATGCAATAGAAACCTACGGAAAATTGTTCAAAGTTTTTATTAGAAGCTTTTATTTGTCGTACTTTAGATCCAATATTATTGAATTGTCGACCAGATTTTTCTAGATTGCCCAAAGTGTATATTAGACATTCAGGGCAAATTCTTTGAAAAAACAGAAATTTAAAAATTTTTAAGAAGCAAATTATTCAATTTTTAATTTACCGTTCTTTTTCATTTTCCATTTTTTTCAGAAAAAATAGTGCATCAGGTGATAAATAAAAATCTTCTTCAAGTAAAAGTACTAGAAGATCGGAACGATTTTGTAGCACTTGGATTGAATTAAAGACATAGTTCAACTAAAAGATGAAGAATAGTATTTTTAAGAACATGACCGACGATCAAAATTGTCTTCAAAATTGTAAAGCCGTAAGAGTCGCTATGGAATTTATGATAAATATTAGCAAAAATCTTTCTATTGTCTAGAAATACACGTTAAGCACATTTCTCATAACTATATATCGATCTGAATTGTTTTGAATCAATAATAAACAAGATTACAGCCGAATGAAATATATCTTGTTCATGCTCAAATGAATACTCAAAGTAGATGTTGGTATATAAGCAAAATATCCAGAGCATATGAATGTTGATTACCATTTTATTTGAGTTATTTTTATGCACAATTTATATTACGGTCAAAACTTGTTAATTCCTTTCAGCGATTGAAAACGACAAAATATATGGGTAACTATTTTCGATAATATCAATTGAAGAGAACGAATTCTATTTGTTGACAAGGTGAAGTTTATTTTTAGTTAAGATAAATTGATTTGTTATTAATAAGCAAACCGTTTCTGTATCTTGATGATATGAATGCAAGTCTACAACACACCCAAAGTATGTCTCACATTTCCAATAACATGCCTTGTCAATGGTTGTGCCTTAATTCTTTTCTGTGATTTATCATCTCCAAGCATTTCATTCACCTATTATACTTTATCATGCATAATAGTAGTGTCACCCCTGTCATAACTAAATGTCAGTAGATGAATTCACAAGGATTTTAACGATGATCAATTTTAGAGAAAAAACCTGATTTTCTTTATCCTAAGAATTCAAATGAGCCTGTATTGTGTCCTGTGTGAAATCGGTAGATTTCACTTTTTCTAAGTCTAGAGCAGATTTTGAGCTTCATATACCGATTGATCCGAAAAATTGATTATGTTTGTCTTTCATTTCTTAAAACATTGACGACCTCTCTCACTTTTAAGTTCGTAATAAAAATAATATAAAGAAAAGAAAACAAATATTTGTCAGCTTTCATAACTACTCAGCATACCTTCCTTATACGGTTTTTCTCTCTCTAGCAAATACTCACTCATCTATTTTTCATTTGAATTTCAGATTCTAAAAAGATCAAGAATTGAAAGACTTGATATTTACAGTATCGATTCAAAAAGCATCAGTCATTGGCATAGAAATAAAAAATAAAAACATATAACTCACTTTCCACCACCAATGATGTTTTATTTGTACAATAGAAACTTCTCTATAATGCCCGTATTTATCTGGATATGGTGCGTTTTTACATCGACTGGACAAAGCTCTAAAAATTTGAAAACTATTTTAGAAAAAATTCATTACAAATTAAATGTTAGTTGAAAAGTAAAAAATAAAAAACAAAATTTTCTGCTTAGTCTAAGTATTTAAAAGACGTTAGAAAAATAAATCACACAGAAAAATTTTCATACATTGTTTTCAGTTTTTACTCGATAGAACATTTTTAACCCACCTTTGGCGTTCAGCGAGTATCTTTGAACGTCTGTAAAAGATTTTCGACGAAAAATTTAACCACAATAGTTACTTAGAGAATAGTTCCTATATTTACCTATGCTTAGCGATATCACGTGGGCAATCATTTGGATCAAGACCAGGGAATTCATCAGGATAAAGTTGTTGGGAAAATGGATAAAAAATTTGAATCACCTAAATTAATAATAATTGAAATTGAATTTCTTTAAAATATTCGATTTTCCAGTAGTAATTAAAAAAGGATCGTCAAATAAAATCTATAAAACTTTTACTTTTCGAATGGCAATAAAAAGTACTTTTTACGCAATCAACACTGTTCTTAAACGCGACCAACGAAAGCATTGATCTGATAATGAATTATATTCACCTAAATTTATTGTGTTTCTTTTTCGATTTCATAAAATTTATTGCTCACAAGATTTCAACGCAAAAAAATCTACAATAAATTATATTGTCTGTCTAAGGATTTATTGGCATACATTCAATATATCTTCTAGCAAACAGTGATATGATGTGAATCGGAATATATTTGTCTTGACAATTTCTATTAACTTATAAGTGATATTTGAATGGATCAAATTTGAAAACCACTTTTGCGAAAAAACTATAAGAGGTTATATAACACTGTCAAATCTACTTGAAAATCTTTATAATTTCCTATTACCGGAACAAACTTAATATTTGTTACAAGCACATTTATCTCGGCGTCAATAAAGTCATGACTAAATATAAGTAATGTTTGATTAATTGCTTGAACATCTTTTAACATTTCAATAAATTTCTTTAAATAAACAACTCGTGTATGCACTTGCACCAATAAAATATATCGTGTTGTTGTTAATGAAAATAAGTGTTTATTACGCATAAATTGTTCTTGATTTTTTCTTTGAACATATTCACGATAATATTCTATGACTGTTCGATTAGTAGCTGTTGCATTGACATATTGACTTTCATTCATTGTTAAATTGAAGGAATCTTGTTTTTTATCTTTATTTAAGTCGTCATCATCAAATGGTAGTGCTAATGAAGTACTATCGATTGATTGTTGTTGTAAATCATCGTAAAATGTTATTGTTAATTTTATCATTGTCATTATAAATAACCAAAGAATAATGTAACGAAGCATAATACAGCGGTATCGAAAAATATGAAGCATGACTATCATTACAAAAATGCCAGTCCATGAAATGTCAGAGTATTTTTTTCAAGGAAGCTTTTCGATACCTTATATATGTTATAAGTTAAATGAGCGTCATTTATAAATATATACCGAGGAGAGCATTCGTGATTATATTTGATTCATTCATTTTAATAGACTATGAACAATAGTATCTATATAAACGAGAAAAAGAAAAAGAAAAAGAAAAAGACAACACATACATACATAGGCGTATAAAGCTTCGATTTAATTCACAGAACGAGATATATATTAAAAGTTCGAAAACTTTTTTGTTCTTATCCTATCACTAAGACATATTTGATGATGCCGAAAGAAGCACAACACAAGAAAGAGAATACGAAACAGATCGGCGACATGAAGTTACTTTTACAATTTACTTTGAATGATAAGAATATTTTATAATATACGCAACAGCTTTATTCAAATAATAATGCAAAAGTATTGAGAACAAAGAAAGAACAAACGAACAATTCATCATGCTGATTTCTCCAGGGTAACCTTTCAGATTAAAGCTGCTGTTCCCGCTCTCAAATGAATGTAATGTTGCACTTTTTTTGAGAAAAGAAACACAAAGGCATTTTTTATCATGTTATAATCAGATGATACGGAGAGAAAAATGTGTGACCGTTTCTGATCACTATCGCTTCCAACTATGACGTTTAGTTTATTCTACCTATTCAATACAGATAAGAAGAAGAAGACTACCATCTATTGACTATGAACTGAACTGTATTTGATTGCATTACGCTGGAATTTTCTTGCAACAAGAAACAGAATTATTCCACTATCTATTGGTTTCGTTTTCACATAAAATATGCAGGGAAGGAGAGAGAGTAAATATTCTCAACTAATGAAAATCGAAAAACAGTAATACGAGATAAAAAATAGGTTATAGATGTCGGTAGACGACGATTCAATGTGATTTTTAACTATCAACAAAAAAGTGACTGGTACCTGTCATACAAATACACTGCAAATAGTTCCAGCCGATGAGAATAATGAATCTGGATAACCACTTTTATCTCCTTCTCGTTTTCAATTCAATATTGACTTGTATGCAACGTGTGCTCTCTGACGTCATTGACTTCAAGCTTATATTGTAATGTGATATAGTGACTAATGCGAGATGTTCGCGTTTAGAACGAAAACAAAAGCCGTGTTTGATAAGTTTCGACGGATAATACCTAAAGCAATCATGGTCATGGTGATTGCTTCAAATGAGATTAAAGAATGCTTTGATATATTAACGTAAAGACTTGCACAACATTGCGTGTTAGGTTTCATCGCTTTTTCTGATAGTTTTACTCTGTCGTGAGACTATGAAAAATTAGCCAGCACTATCAGCGCTTTTTTTCTGTGTATTTTATGCTTTAAGAACAGCACGACATAGTCTTGGCTAATCAAGTCTCGATATAGTTTTCATATGTACACCGTGCACACAACTTTATGTTCTACTCTTGATTCGAATGAGACTCATGAACATTAGCTTCCTTGTTGCAGAAATATACACATTAGTCTTGATGTAAACAGTATGCATAATTTAGCTTTGACAGCTGCGTTACTGAAAAAATCGTTGGAGAGTCCCTGCACATGTGTCACACCAACTGTTAAGCTCTGTTCCAGTGACATTGTGCAATAGAAAGGATGTACATTCAATGCCAAAATCTAAGAAGAACGTACGTGATCATCGATAGACTCGCGTTTTCAATGAGAAATTGTTTATTTAATTTATAATCATGCCTAACTCAAATCTTTGTAGTATCGAAATTCTGTTTCCAATAATATCGATAAAAATTTGCTAAAAAATAGGTCACAGTTGTCTGAAATGTTCATAATTACTTATCGCACTTTCTTCAACAAAAAGATTTTTTCGTATATAATTGCATGTTAGTCTCATCACTGTACTTCCTATCTGTTTGAGTTTCAGATCAAATTACCCGTCGCTGAAACTAATGTCTGATGACCAACGCTTTATTATTAGAACCATATTTGAATAGATGTGATATCTATGTCTGCAATCGTCGAATAATGTCTTCTGAGGCATAGATGAAACATTAACAGGAACAGTATTAGTGATCTGTCAAATATGTCGATTAAATTAACTGATATATATATATGAAAATCCGCACAGCTGTGACATAGAAAAGATGTCACTGATGAAGAAAAGGTCCAATACGATCATTGGATGAGTCACCAATGATTTCTTTTCAGTTTTTATTCAGTGCTCAGATAAAAACAGAACTACGATGTGTCCTGCCATTAATACTGGGTAAGAAAACGAATACTATTTAAAAATGATTTGAATTATTCATAAAATCTTTTAGTTATCAAGTTACAATAGCACCAGGTGCATATGTTTGTGAAGAGCGTCTTCAATTAGTAGGAGAAATTTCTATCGGTATATATTTTCAAAAGAGATTTAAACAAAAAAATCATTCACTCTTGTTAATAACATCTAGGAAGTAAAACTATTATACATCCAGGTGCGAGTATAATTGCTGAGGCTGGTCCAATTTTTATCGGCGATGGAAATCTTATTGAAGAGCAATGCGTTATAGCTAATCGGTAATTGGAACCATTTGAATATCTTTTTTGTTTTAAATAAATATGTTTTCATTTACTAGATTCCCATCCGGTATTGATAAAGATCAAATGAATCAAGTTGTTATGATAATAGGGAATAATAATGTCTTCGAAGTCGGCTCACGTAGGTTATTCTACTGTTAATTTTACTTCCATGAAGTTTATTTTTTCATCTCTTAGTGTGTGAAGCTCTCAAAGTTGGCGATAATAATATTCTCGAATGTAAAGGTAGGTTGATAGTTTATTCTTTTCTTTTTCAGTAATAAATTCAATTTAATTTGGATTAGCTCAAGTTGGTCGTAGCGTTACATTGACAAGTGGCTGTGTTATTGGTTCAATGTGTTCACTGACAACAAATGAAACTTTACCAGAAAATACTGTTATATTCGGCAGTGATCATCAACGACGTACAATGCCTGATCGACCAGCTGTACATATATCTTTTTTTCTTGTTAAACAAATAATGTCATTTAATACTTTGTTTTTCTTCCAGTTTCAAACGCATCAACTCGATTTCCTTGCGCGCATTCTGCCAACATCCCATTACGTTCTAAAACATGGAACAAAAAGTCATACACCAGCATCTACATAGATTGATTTCTTTTTTATTATATTAATATATTTTATTAATCTGGTGTTTGTGTCCATGAGATAATTATTGTGTTTTATGGTGCAGATAACACTTATTGGATTTCGGATCTTTTCTGTTTTCTTTTTTTATTATCTAACATGAATAAATGGCGTATTATTCTCTAGATCAATGTTTTCTCACAGTAATGTGACATTTCCAGTTAGTGAAGAATCATAACAACATGTGCGAGAGTGTATATGATATGTCGTACAGTCGATAAGTTCTCTGTGATCGATCATGAACAAGAAAATCGAGGATGAAACTGGAGAATAGCTGTGGATGCATGCTTTTTCCTTCTGTTCTTGGGTCATGTCTTCATATTTTTTTCTGGCACCGCCTTTTTTCTAATGATGTTTAATTCTACGAGAATGCATGATAGCAAGATATAAACAAATGATAAATGGATATTGATTTGATATGAGAACAAAAAAATAAGAAAAGTTGCGATGGAACTTCGTCGATTTACAATGTCGAATCCAACAGCAGCTTTCTCCATCATTGCGCATGAAGCATGGGGTCATAGACTTTCTGTTGGAGAAAACGATGACGATACAAACTTCGGAGATGGACATAATAAAACTCAGCGGTTACGAAATCGAATAAAAGTGAGACTAAACAGTTTTCTTGATATAATTCTTGTGCTGCTTATAATATAATAGACTAATCATTGTAATTTAGGCAAATTGTCTCTTGCGTTTAGATAAAAAGAAATACGTATATAGATATATGTTATTAGTTCTTATCTGATTTCTAGCTCTTCATTACGAATCAAAATCATCCAATCACTAGTATACAACTGGAGTCTCTTGGGATAATTATATATAATACTATCGAATGTTGATGGGAATATAAATTGCTTTTGTTACAGTGACGTAAGACGTACATTATTATGATGTGAAAGAGAAAAATTCGATTCTATTTTTGATTTCCTATTCTTGATTACAAATATTTGTTTTTATTTCCTAAACAGGAAGTAAGAACATAGTTCTCGTTAGAAGATCAATGGATTTCCTTTCCCAAATATCTTACTTATTTCTTACAGATGGCTTTTACTTACTGTTCGATAATATTATCGAAGAAAATACCAACAATTGTTTACGTGTATATTTATTTGTGGCTTGTACTATAGAGTATTAGAGGTTTTTATTGCCTAGTTTGACAAAAGTATCTCTGGATCAATAGCTATTGCTCTATCAACAATAACCAAACAAAAATGACCTTAGTATTGTAATTGTGATTAGATTAATTTGATGCAAAACAATTTCATTTTGCATTGTACTAATAGGCGTTATTTGGTCGGTAAATGTACATGGACATTAAAAGATAAGGATAGCAAAAAACGCGTTTAGAAACCAGAAAAGCATCAAAACCCTATGCCAGAAATACCATCTGCATAGATCTGAGAAGATAACAAAATATCGATGCAATAGATTTAATCATTGATAACAAAATTTAACTGAAATGAATAGTACTTCGGTTCAACTTTTTAAGAAGAGACCTAGCTGTTTACCAGAACGAGAAATACAGGTAATTTGTTATCATGAAAACATTTTATTTCCAAAACGACCCATATAAACCTTATATGGATATATATATATATATATATATATGTATATTTATGTCTGTAAATCATCCGAAAGAAAATAAGCAGCCACCAACAATGATGATATGACTTATGTGTATTAATAATTGTTGTTAACATTCTATTTTTTTTCTATCCTTGTCTCTCTCTCCTTGCTAATATAAATAAGAAGTGTTATAGATTTACCATATAATAGATACAGATATACAATAATGGAATATCAATCATCAACGATAAGACGAACACGTAAAGTGATTAAAATATTTCAACAATAAATAAGCAAACGTCTATTTTGATGTCATTCTATGTTTTGCTTTTCTTATTTTTATTTAGCGTGATTTCAACTCTCTACCAGAAAAAGTTTTACTATCAGTATTTTCCTATTTACCACATCTACAATTATTACGTTGTGCACGTGTTTGTCGTTTATGGCGTGGTTTAAGTCAAAATTCAAAATTATGGAAACAAGTTTTTCTTCGTCCCGAACATCACGGTTTACATGTGAAAAATCTCGATCAATTTGTTCCTTTAATTGGTCATCGTTTTGCTCTATCATTACAATTTATCGAATTACCAATGGAATTAATAACATCTGATGTTTTACATGAATTAGCCAATAAATGTCCGAATTTAAAATATTTAACATTAGATTTTTCAACAGCTATGCAGCTACATGATTTTAATGATTTAAATATGTTTCCGTGCAATCTTAAAGCGCTTTGCATCTGTTTGTCAGAAGTTATTTTTCTTGAAGGCTTTATGAGACGTATCTATACATATTTATCATCATTAGAAGTGTTACAAATTATTGGTAAGAGAAAAAAGAACACTTGTATGGCGTGGTTATTATTTTTTCTTTTGTTGTTTCTCTTCAGGTACTATTGAGAAATCAACTGAAGCTGAAGAAGAAGTTTATGAAACAATTAATATTAGTAAAATAAAAGTTCAAACACCTAATCTTCGAGTGAGTTTAGAGTATTTGTAATGATTAACATAAATAATGATTTATAGGTCATCAATTTATATGGTATTTTTTTTATTGATGATAATCATATAGAAACTATTGCATCTGGTTGTATTCATTTGGAGTGTTTTGCATTAAATTTTTGTACACGTGTCAAAGGTACAAGTTTTAAAAATTTATTACAACGTTGTAGAAAACTGCAATGTCTTCTACTTCAAAATACTGGTACTTGTATTTTTTTTAAAATGAAAAACATAGAACTGATTGTTTAACTTATTTTACTATTTTATTAATAGCTATTGAAGATAACTATATGTTAGCAGCTGATTGGGCAACATCTTCTGTTAGTGAACTGGATATATCATCTACTGATTTATCAGAACAATGTCTATTAGATGTTTTTGCACGAATGCCTAAATTAACTTACTTAGCAGTACCTAATTGTGATGGATTTACCGACCAGGTAAATATAGGAGTCTTGATCTCAATGATTTTCTATTGAAATCTATCAATTCAAGGTTCTTGATCTACTTATTGATCAAGGCAAATTATCTCATATTCGTGCTATCGATTTAAGCGATACGGTTAATCTTAATTTTGAAGTTGTAGCAACATTTATTAAACGACATGGGCGACAATTACGTGGCATATCCTATTATGGTAATCCAAAAGTAAGCGAACAATTTTGGACTAATGCAATAAAAAATATGAAAAATGTCAAGTAAGATCACTTCGAAATTGTCTAGTTTAAAATATTTCTTCGTTTTGCTTTTGCAGAATTGTAGTTATTGGTACTTCATTCGGTTGGTTTAAGAAAATATCTACGCGTATTCATATTGATCAAATATTAGAATCATGTGCACAAGAATGTCAAAATTTAGAACGCTTAGAAATTCAATGGGACCAAGAAACTTTAAGATGGAATGAAAATAGTTCGAAATTTATTGATCACATTCGGTATGTTTGTTTTTCTCTTGTTGTTGATGGATATTTGGAAATACTTATATATATATATATATATAGAATTCGTTGTGTGAAGCTCAATTCATTAGTATTATCCGATGGTGAATATTATGAACTTGTACGATCAAATTTTGAACGAGCTGATCGTCAACGTGTTGTACGTACAGCGACTAGTGACCAGACCAGTATTGTCAGTTTACTTAAATATTATAATGATTTACGTTTCAATTAAACCGTATATGCACATATATTTTTATAGCCATCGCACTTAATTTTATTTCTTCCTTTTTTTTCCATGGTTCACCTATTACTGATAGAAACACGTTTTATATGCAACTTGTTTGTCATTTATGTCGTTCATCAGAGACTAAGTCAAGATGGCTAATAAAAGGTCAAAAATATGTGTTGTGCATCAATATTGGTTAAATAAAATAGACGAATGCGAGTGTATGAATAAAGCTAAAACTAAATGCATAATATGTTTTTAACTAACATAAACAATAGTCAAATAGCTCCTTTGTCATTAACAGACGATTTTCAATTTCACTCATCGTATTTTTGTTCTCTTTCTCTCTCGTTCTTAATGCTATTATTGTTTACTGATTTTTTTGTGTAGATTAAAAATAGCTGTTGCTATTCGACAATCGATCTGTTTTTGCGGTATTATTATTAACATATGGAGATTTATTTTATGGCTGTAAATTATATTACCGGAACTATCGTGTCAGTTAATTGTTGTTTTAACGAAAGCTAGGACCATGGCAGCTCAACTCAATTAGACTCTCTAGTAATTAGTTCGTTATGGTCTTTCTATCCCATATTCTCTTGTTGTTATGTTTCTATTTACGGATGAATGACCTAGTTTCGATAAGTCATGATCAACTAAGAGAATTTTTCTTCTTCTGACTTTTACACGAAAGTACTTTTTGCCATATTGACAATACACAAAAACTGCTATATCTGTAGCTATTCATATTCAATGTTGTTTTATCCATTAAATCTGATTGATACTATCTTTAACAGATGTCCATCGCAGTTTAGATCATTGTTACTTGCCCGTTCTACAGAACCATGATGCTTGTACTGATTCTGTTTTATTTTTAGTGCTAGTTCATTTTATAGGTTATCATTAGCATTCAAAAGCCAAAAGAGTCACAATAATATGATGTTGACACTCACAAACTATCACAGGATTCAAACCTATTAGTTTTTCACCACTCAATTCAATTAAGTATATATATATATATGTATATGCAGTACTGGCCAAAATTATAGAACCATTTTCCGAGTTTCGTCGTTTTCTTATCATGATGATTTCAATCTTTCTTTAATGCCACACTGACTGAAAAAGAAGTACGTTCCGACAATGTTTAAATACTGTACTTTCAAAAATATTTTATTCTCGAGTTTCAGAGGAAGTCTTATTCTTCAAGCCAAAATGGCTGTAAAACGTGATTTTTCTTTGGTATTTTTGTTGAAAAGTTTAAAGTACGGATACTAATCATTTCCAAGGTCCAAGAAAACGGTGCGTAAATGGCCGTAAAAACGATGTAAAACTGCGCCGTTTTCCGAGCTGACGGAAAGCGACGAATATACTGTTAAAAACGATGGCCGTTTTCTAGCGGAAAAAGCGGTCTGACGGATTACGGCGAAATAAAGTGAAAATTAACGCCTTATTATTCTATTTTTATAGCCGTTTCAGGTCTGTTAAGATGACCGCTTCGGCGGTCGGAATGATTGTCCTGTGTTGTAGGCAGTGAATTTGAAGAGAAACTATTCATAGCTTCAAAATGAGAGGTTGGCTTGCTCATTGTACCATTTCTTTCCGAAGATACACATGGTAACAGAAAAATCTTTAATAACGCCAAAAAAAAAGGAGTTTTCGGTTATTCGTCTTTGCACCATTAACATAGAAGTGTAATAGCTCTATTTCCGTCGGATATTAATACGTGTTGCCGACGGCTATCGCAAGGTTTTATATTCAGCAAGTGATTGATTAAATGTCAGTTACTGTTGCGAAGATGATTTATAGTTATCATTTAGCATTTTTTAGCTTTCTTAAAGATTTGTTTTTGTTACCATGTGTAATCTTCGGAACGAAATGGTACAATGAGCAAGCCAACGTCTCATTTTGAAGCTATGAATAGTTTCTCTTCAAATCCACTGCCTACAAATGATTAGTATCCTTACTTTAAACTTTTCAACAAAAATACCAAAGAAAAATCATGTTTTACAGCCATTTTGACTTGAAAAATAAGACTTCCTCTGAAACTCGAGAATAAAATATTTTTGAAAGTACAGTATTTAAACATTGTCGGAACGTACTTCTTTGTCAGTCAGCGTGGCATTAAAGAAAGATTGAAATCATCATGATAAGAAAACGACGAAACTCGGAGAATGGTTCTATAATTTTGGCCAGGCAAAAATCAACAAATTTTTCTAATCAATTTTTTTCTCAAAGTTCACATTGAGAGTGTGAAAGTATAAGTACATATTTGAATAGAGTACTTTCGAATCTATATATTATCATACTAGCTTTTCTATGTTCAATACTCTAAAACTATCGATGGAGAAGAAATAACGTCACTCAAGCAGATGGTTCTATAATTTTGGCCAGTACTGCATATACATATGTGTGCAATCAAAACATTGAGATTGGTTTCCTACCGCTACTAGTTTATTTTGTATGCCGGGATAAACATAGTGCTATCAATACTTCTGATCTGTATATCATGATATTTAATGTTGTTTTTCATTGCTGTCGATGCTGAATATCAAAATAGTGCATACAATCACACCCCTTTTCCTCTTTAATAACTATCGTGCTCCTTGTATTTACATTCAACACCAACTAATGCAATATCTGCTATTTTCAATACTAATGTATAAAGTATTTAATGTTTCTTGTGTGAGATTTCATCAATTTTGATTATCAATTTGATTGTTAATGAAGTTAGTAGTGATAACAATCACCGCTGTACTATTGATTTTAGTGAATTTTACATTTCTTGATTGAAAAATTTTAATTTGCTTCAATTAAATATTTTGCTGGTGAATTCAATTTTAAATAAAACGAAGTTATAAATAGATTCAATTTAGTTTTGCTTTTCTTATTACTTAAGTAGAAGCCTATTGACAGATGAGTATCGATCTTTGTTGTCGACGACAAAATATGTGCGAGTACGTAAAATCAATACGATACTACTGGCAAGTGGATGACAACAGTGATGTCTAGATTTCAGATTTTCCGTACTAAAGTACTCAGAATAAAAACTTATTTATCTCATATTCCTACGAGAAAGATAATCTCATTACATAGAACAGTAGAAACTATAGTGACATTTAACTTGAAGCATAAATGGTTCCAAAACCGATACATAAGAGCTGGGTTTTGTGTGAAAAACTATTTTGATATAAAAAAAATAAGTCACAAAAACAATCGTTGCGTAACTTGCAGTGTCTAGACATCTTGTTTTGACTAACAGTAACTTGTCTCTCTGTTATGATAATTCAATAGAACGTCAAACATTAGTATAATTCGCAGATCGCAATAGAAATCTTTCTATTCTGTATACGATGATTTCTATGAAAACTTTTCCATTCTAAAAGCCAAACTATTTATTGTTTTTAGTAATTTGTATGACATAGCGTACACACAAAGAATATCAAGAAGAAAAAGAAAAACAGTAGTTATTTATCATGAAAGTCTTTTATTGTTCGAAATTGTTATTGTCTAATGCTAAATCATTTGACGATTGTCCGGTTTGATTTGATTTCAAATGAAATAGTGTATCATATTTTTCAAAACTAATTAAACGAAGTATAGTTTGCGCATAGTTTGTTAAATTAAAACGTTCCTCTGTGGTTAAATAAGCGGTGGCATCAACAACTTCTTTTTCACATGGATCAATTATACCAGGACCAATACGATTTGGTAAAAGAATACCACTACTTAAACAAGCAAATACTGAACGAAACAAATTCGTTGGTGAGTTCGGTGGTTGGTATTGACATTTGTAAACAAGTAAAGTAAGACACCAAAGATTAAGCGATGATAATGGCGTTTGATTATATTGCAAATCTCGCAGAAGCCGAAGAACAATTAAATTTGAATTATTTTCAAGCATACATCGGGAAAACCAATTGGAATGACCTTAAATAAATGAGAAAAATTAAATTATTCTATATCGAAGAAACTGAGTAATAAATGATTTTTGTAAGGCGTGCTTTCAGTCATTAGTTTGCTTTTTGTCTAACGCATTAATCGCTCGAGTGCTTCTTTTTAATCGGCTAGGAAGCATCTTATTTCTATGGGTAGATATCTTCGAAATCTTAAAAAAAAACTATTTTCTTCTAACTTTTTTTCATCGACAAAGAAGAAAAGAGAATGAGCATGTCGATTCAATCAGTTCATAATTCTAGAGAAAATATTTTTCTTTATATTTGGCAAATAGATTACAATTCATTTATTTTTATCAGTGTTACCGATGACAAGGCAAAAAGAACTGAGAAAATTTATCGTTGTGCTTTCAGATTCTTTGGAAACCGTCTGTCAGCTTAAAGTGAATTTTATCGATGTAGATAAAAGTTAATAAATTTCTTTACTTACGTATTTCAGCTGCTGTTTCTAAACATTTATTTTTATCTAACATATCGATTGGATCCGGATTTAAATCAGCTATTTCTTGACCACTCATATCATCGAGATTAAGAAAATTTTCACTGCGAAATACTGGTGATGTTAACATAATTTTAATTATATGGTTCGGCAAAAGACTGCATTGAACAGTAAGACACGCATCATGAATATCTGCTTGTACTTGATAGCTTATTGGTGTTGATTGTTCTGCGTTTGAATCTAGTTGAATAGCTGCTATAGCTTGAGCATTTAATCCAATACTTAATTCTTGACAAACTTCATTGAGTAATGCTACAGTTGGCTTATTAGCACATATAAGTACTAATGAATATTCATAATCGGTTTTAAGGAAAAGACGCATAGCTAATGTTGAAACTTTCATAGCACCTTTTAACATTCTATGTATAAAAAAGGAAAAAAAAAGAATAATGTTATCATGATATTCATCTTGAATGATTTACCGGAATGATTCACTTGGATCTTCATTAAGTTGTTCGACACTATTTAATTTAACATTGTCTGGTAATTGTGGTACAACAGTAACATTATTCAATTTGCAAGTTTCCATGATTTTATCAGATACAGTTTTTAATGCTCGTTCAATATCCTCAACAAAACGATGTAAGGTTATTATTGTGTTTTCATTTTCACAGATTTCTTCACATTTATGATTAATTAAATTTTGAAATAAATTTTCATTATTTGACACTGCTTGTTGTTGTCCTCCTGTGGGTGTATATGGTTTTGGTCGTGGCTGTTGTTGTTGTTGTGGTGGCGGTGGTGGATATTGCTGACGAATGTTTGAGTACGCTAAAAGATAAATAAACATGACTAAATACGATCAAAACTAATTACTAAGAAAAAACTTGATTTTAGAAAGTATTCTTATTTTTTAGTAGGTAACTTTATTCTTTGATTTGTCTATAATCAAGTTTTCTCATTTGATCTATTTTAAATACACTTACCACCTATCCAGTGCTGATGCTTTTTCTATTTCTTTTTTTTGAATGAATTGAAAGTGAGTAGAAGTATTTATGATTTTTCTTATTCGCGCTGGAATTCGATCTGCCCATCGAATTAGCGCTTAATCAAATTTACTAATAATAGTAATAACAACAAAGAAGATAGATTTAGGCAGATTAAAATCCATGGGAATAGAGAGATATTATTGTCTTCTCTCATTATTATTTTTTCTCTCTATCAATTATTCAAATAAAAAAGAAAGTGAACGAGCTTCGTTCGTTTATATTGATAACCATTTATTAATAAGCATGTGTATCAGCCAGTAACTATAAAATGAATCAATATTAAACTTACTTTAAATCTCAACATAAAATCTTTTTTTTTTCATTAATAGAACAAAGTGAAGACATGAACTCACTTCCTCGGCCAGCTCCTCCACGCGATGTTCTTGCTGAATGTGATCCACGTTGTGTCAGTTCAGGTCTTTTTAATGCCGTTGTTTGTAACGCTTGTTCCGCAGCTAAACCGTAAAGATTTATTTCAAATGTCAATTTCTGTGTTAGTTGAACTTACCAACTTGTTGGGCTCGTTTAATACTTGTTCCGATACCTGTATAAGCTTCGTCAGCAATTGTTAATCGTATTTCAAATTGTTTACAATGTGCCGGGCCAGTTTCTTTAACTAAGTCATATTTAGCATTTACCTGAAGAACGAAAGAAGAAAAAAATGAAGTTATTGCTAGTTTATTTTTCAAACTTTATTAAATTTTGCTAATTCGTTCAGTAATTGTAAAACACTTTTGTCGCTAGTTGATGATGGTTTAACAACCATAGAAGCTGGAGGAGGTGGATTTGGCTCAGCCAATAGTACAGGTTCAACTGGTGTGCTCATTACGGGTTCTACAGGTAGACATAATGGTTTTTGTTCAACATCAGTGGTAGTTGGTGAAGTCACAGTTGATATTTTAAGTTTCATTTTTTTAATATGTTTTTGACCACGAATATGAGCATCCATCATTTGTTGTGAATTAACTTCAATCCCACAGGCATCACATGTTATTATTTCTTGTTTGCGTTTTTCAGATTTTGGTGGTTGCATCTAAAATTAATTTTATTTTGTAGCATAAAAACTTTAAATAGAACTAAGCATACTGCTGGTCTCGAATTGTAAAAACGAGGCGGCTGGGATTGAAAATGTTGTGGTGTTTGATTCATATATGTTTGTTCCATTAGTGACGGATGCTGTTGTGGATTATGCATAGGAAATGGAAAGGACATTAGTGCAGCAGGTGGACCATTATTAAAATTTCCGATATTGTTCATCTTTTTTTTGTATTGGTAGATAATGAAAAATACAAGCTGCTTATTTTAATAGTAAAATGTTTCGAAATAAGCAAATATGTAATAGAAATAAATATCGTGGCCGATAGACAACAATAAAATGGTTAAAATAATCGAGATATATATTTTTTTTGACGTAATACACTTTCTTTCCATTGCGTTAGAATGACATCGAACCTCTATAAGGCGAAAAAGAGGGCGCTAGCATCAAGCACATGCACTTATAAAATAAATGTATGAAAAAGATCTCCCCTCTTCTGACATTATTATGACATGAATACAATTACTAAAAAGCGATTTGCTTCGAAAAATATCTATTTATTTTATGTAAGACACTTTCATGATAATATATCCTCCATTAAATAATACAACACTAATTGAGTTATAATTGAGAAAAAATGTGAATTTTTTTCAGTTTTGTTTCATCTTATTGTCAAATTTCCTCATAACCACCTTTTCCACAGAGCTGTTCATATCCCAGGAGGACAGTTACAAACCTCTGTAATGTACTATAACTTCACCGTAAACGATCGTATTAGTATATCGTACTCGATCGTAATACATGCCCAGGCCACTCAATCCTAGCTTCTGGATTCCGGTCCGGATTTGATCGGAATCCTGGTGTCACTGGCGGATCTACCACCCAGGTCGAACAGTTCGGCCTGGCAACGGCCGGTTCCAGTTACTTCTGTTGATTTTGTGGAAGCAGTATTCCGGTTGGAAAAATTTCGGATTTTTTCCGGCGATTTCCGATCAATTCCTGCCGGAAAGCACCAGATTTTGGAAGGAATCCGCCGGAAAAGTCCGGTCGTGTTTTTGGTGGGAATACTGCTCCCAGATTCCAGCGATTTCCCGTGTTTTCCTGCAGTATCTTACGGGATCCGGTGGGCGGAATGTTCGACCTGGGCAGTTCGGCTACCCAGCGCTCGCCACCCCCCCTGAGAATAGATGGGACAACGAAATATTTTTAAAGGTTTAAATAATATTAGAAGGTCGAAAATAAATGAATAGCCGATAGGAATCGGAAAACTATAGTTGATTGTCATCATCTTGAATATTACGTGAGTAGTAGATCAAAAAATATAAATAGCGTTTGTTCGTTTTCAGCTTCATTTCTGTCTTTTTTAAAGTGCTACCCGAAATGTTTCTGCGATTCTTATATTCACCAAATAATATCTTTCAATAAGAAAATAAACCACACGATTTTGGTGTCAAACGTTCGAAAACTTTTTTGGTTTAATAATAAAAGTTTCACAAAAAAATCATGAAAATAAGTAATTAGAAAAATCTGGTTAATTATAACTAATTTGCACCGATGAATTCGCTAAGTTCAGTAGTCGATTAGCTTTTAGGTTTTATGGCGCAACTTCATTTCTAAAAAAGTTGTTTTTTCCATGAAATTATAGATATACTGCGCAAAAATTAAATAAGCAATGGAAAGAAAACTGTAGTACTTTGATTTATATATTTTCGAAAAACATTTCTCTACGTCGTATTATATAATTTAGAAAGCGCCATCCTCTCTAAAAATTCCAGGATCCGCCACTGCCTGGTGAGCGTGCGTGCCCTGGATGTCAACGATTTGCGAGCGTATTCTCGCCGTATTTTCTGTTTTACGGTCTATTTATAAGAAATATTGAGCAAATATCTGATACTTGGCCGGCTCTAAATTTTACAATTTTTTTCCGGAGATTTCGGCTAACTTTGGGATAATATCAATACTGCTTGCTACTTATTTATTTTCCAGATGCCTTTCTCCCATATTCGAGAGTGATGTCATAATCCTGTTACACCGGGTAACGACTTTTCCCCCAGCTAAACATACTTTATAAACATTCGGTGTATTATCCCTTGGGTATCCACTTCGATATAAGTATATGTTTTAAGTTGAGGAATTTGAGTTGTTTTGGGATATTACCCCTAGTGTACCGTCAGGAACTTTCCCGATAGAGATGATGAGTACCCATCGAAACAATTCATTAAATTTAAGACTAAAAAAAATTAAATCTCAATTCAAATCTTAAATCTAACTTGGTAGAATTTAATCAAAAAATTGTATTTTAATTTTTGCGAATTTAAATATAAATTAAATAAACTGTAAATTAACACCCATAGTAATACCCTAAAAACAACTCAAATTCCTCAACTTGAAATACAGTTATGTCGAAATGGATACCCTAGGGGTAATACCCCCAAAAGAATTCGACGGGTATTATGACTTCCAAATCACGATACTCAGTTTAAAGGTATTGTGACATCTATGATATTTTGACATGCGCACGTACTTTTCATGTTCGCTTACCAATAGGTTTTTGTTCTCTATACGATGGAATGTGATGTTATTCAATCAACGGCGTAACCAAGGACGACCCATGGGATAAAAAAATTAAGATATATTCACTGCGAAACACGTTAATGCTGACCGATTTAACCTGTTGCGCGGCGTTTCCTATGGTAACACAGGCGTCAAATCAATTTTCCCATTTACTCAAAACGCGCTTGGGAGCCACTATGTCAGGATGAAAACAAAAAGTACATAATCTCGCGGCGTTTTTAACCGATTCAATAACTGCGGGACGCATTAAACCGGCCAGCGTTAACGCTTTTTGCAGCATTGAAAAGTAACGAAATTTTTCCCACGGGCAGGCGAATGGGTAATTGCCCATCTCATTTTGAGTTTCATCCACTGAAATTTTGTTTTTAGAACTGTTTATTTATTTTTGAATTATAGATAGTAACTGTTTTTCCTCACCAGAATGATACATACACTCTTTACTTATCCTTTCTATGAAGAATTATGAACCAGAAAAAAGAATCGCTTCTTGTATATTTTTATTGTAAGTTAATTATTTTGACTTAGAAGCTACTGTCGGTCTATAATGAAACAAAATATAGGCTAGACGAACTTGCTGCTGCATACATTCATAAAGATCTCGAGATAAATTCAGATGAAATATTGAAATTATATGCACAAATGTATCATTGTCATTTTAGTGTTTCATTTTGAAACATAAATGTTCTTAATAGGCACATTAAAAATAGACTAAAACACACCTGTCTCATGTTAAAATCTGAATTTTGTACATATTCGATTGAAAGAAACTTACTTTGTGGAATTTTTTTACTACGCTATCCGTAATTTGTTTGGCCAAAAGCATGATGAAGATAATGTTAAAAACGATAAGTGTTTTATAGTCGTTTCAGACCTTTTAAGACGCCGATTCAGAGAGTCTGAATGATCGCCCTGGCACATAATTGATTGTGTGATGATATTTCTTTTATTGATTTTTATAAATTATAGCATGATGGAACTTATGAACAGTTTTTAAGTGCTTTACTTTTGTTATTTTTTATTCAACCTTTCTAGATGTCAAATCTATCCCAGTTCAATGATTCCGGAGGACGGATACTGTAGAAACTGGTTGGAAAGATGCGCAAAAATCAGCGTATCTAGCCGGAAAACGCTGGGAAGTGGGAGCAGTATTCCGATCGGGAGTTGACGGATTTTTTTTCCGGTGTATTCCGGTCAACATCTAGCCGGAAATTAGAGGAAACTGACCGGAATCCGCAGGAAAATAATCCGGCTATTTCCGACCGGAATAATGTTTCTACTTTCCAGTGCTTCCTTTGCTTGCCGGCCGTTTCCCGCCGTACCTCCATGGCCTGGGATATATTGTGAAACACTTTTACGTAAAAATACTAATCTACTACTAAGTTCAACAGTACAATAAATTCTTGTTGAAAACAATCAGCCATTGTATGTTTCAATGAATAATAGCACATAAAAGATAGCATTAGAGGTGACTTGTTCAGTTCATGACGATTCTTCTGCATTAAAATTGTAGTGATACATTTGTATCGTATCAGTAAAAGTAAAAATAATGAAATTGATTTTTAATGAATTCTATCCAAAAGAAGTTACCTTACGAATATCTTCATTTCATTGGAATGAATCGTAAATCGCTTTTAATCGTATAGTGATTGTATTCATTGATCACTATACCGCTCGGAACAGTGTGATTTCATACGACATCTATTCCGAGTACTCGGTCATATTTACTAAAGAGTATATATCAATACGCATTGTAACGCAGAACAGGGTATGCAATGCAAGCATGCATAATAATATATATTCATAAATCATTGGTTTGTATATATACTTGAGTACTAAATAGAGCTGACAACAGCTTATTTTCATATTAATATTCTTATGATTTTCATGTCCATATGTTTCAGCTATAGACACGCCGAAAAATGAGTAATAAACAGATACTCAATTATTATCGGTCTATCAATTGAATGACTGAAACTCATACTGAAACTATGACTTCACACCGACACTCGTTATTATTTGAATGCTTCCAAATTGGTTCATTATGCCTGGTTTGGTACAGTGAGTTGAAATATAAATTGAATAATTTATAATCGTTAAATCTTATCATATAGGTTCATCAGCAGTAGGCAATGTTATTGTCAAAGAGCTACTCGAAGTATTTCCGTTTCCATTAACAGTTACACTTGCACAATTATTAAGCATATGGATTCTTTGTGTTCCACTTATGCAGTTTGTAGAATTATTGTGAGTTTTAGTTTTTAATTAAAAATATTTATTTTTATAGAGTATGGAAAGTTCCTCCGCCTGAATATCTTCATCAAAATCGTATTTATTATTTTAAAGTAATAATACCACTGGCAATAGGTAAATTTCTTGCACAATTATCATCTCATGTTAGTCTTTGGAAAGTGCCTGTTTCTTATTCCCATACAATAAAAGCAACAATGCCATTGTTTACTGTGTAAATTTTTGTTCTTTTCCTTTCCTATTTATTATTATTTGTTTTTTATTTTAATTTCTAGAGTTTTATCTCGTCTTATACTGCGTGAAAAACAAACTAGTACTATTTATTTAACTCTAATCCCTATTGTTGTCGGAGTTGTTATAGCATCAGTTACAGAACTTTCATTCAATATGACGGGCTTAATTAGTGCTTTACTTTCTACATTTGGTTTTTCATTACAAAATATTTATTCGAAAAAAGTAAATTAATAATAGGAAATCTTTTTTTCTCGTATCTCTATGATTCATTTTGTTGTTCTAGTCTTTGAAAGATATTGCCATTCATCATTTTGTGTTACTTTCATTGCTAGCTAAAATCGGGTTTTGTCTATTTATGCCATTTTGGTTTTTTTTCGATGGATATACTATTTATTATAATGAAAAATATGTGAGTAGTTGATAATTTTATTGAAATAAGTCCATCAAACAAACCCCAAAAATAAATTATGCTGTGTGTTTTTTTCCTATTAATTTAGCGTGAATACAAAGCAATGTTGCATGCTATCTTTTTTTTAACTGTTGATGGTGTACTTAGTTTTATACATAATGTTGTGGCTTTCACAATTATATCACTGGTATCACCACTATCTTACAGTATCGCGAATAGTACGAAGCGTATTGTCGTTATTAGTGTATCGTTATTTATATTACAAAATCCAGTTACAATAACTAATGTTGTTGGTATGAGTATAGCTGCAATAGGTGTTATGTTCTACAATAAAGTAAGTCATAGCTACTTTTTTTTATTGTAATGCACATTACAAGAATAGTTTTATTGGAGACATTGTATTAATAAATGTTTCAGAAGAAAATTTTTATCTTTTTTTATTACTTCTTAAGAATTGATGCAGCTATCGAATAGAAAGAGTACTTTTTTCTCCCATAAGATATGCGAAGAATAATACCTACTATATTGCTTTACTTCTTTGTCATATAATCACAATAGACTTGACAATTACCGGTATGAATAAATTAACAAAAACGTTTTTTAATTTATATGTTCGCATTTATTTTCAAGAGCAACTAAAGCCCGATCAGTAATTCCTACATTACTCTAAGACCAAAGAAACTGTTCGTCTTTAAAAAAAAAAGAAAAAAAAGATTAGGTAACATGAATATTAGTCGAATACTATTTTCCAAAATAAAAGATAAAACTTAATTTAAAAAACCTCATGATTATTATTCTTAGACGGTTATGATACTTTTTTCCTTTCATTCTATTGTGTTAAACGCCTACATTATTTTTTATTTGAAACTAACTTTCCATTTAATTCAATTTCCGGCGAGTGTCCATAGTGAGTAAACACACTGATTCTCTTCCGGTTAAATCCATGAATTATTCTTCTATAGAAACAACCAGGTAAGAAAACCTCATTGAAAGTATTAAACTAAGAGATCTACCATTGAAATCTATCATTTATTTGTTTTTAATTTACTTCCAGGCCAAATATGATCAACGTCGTATTCAACATAAAGAAACTATTTTACCATTAGTTCGAAGTGAACCCAATTTAACTCCATTAAAACATGATGATCTTTCATCGTCTCATACACCCTCCGAATTAACAGCACGTCACCATGGATTATTACTTGAATCTCGGCCATCAAACGATACTTATGGAAATCAAACATTTAAAGACGTTTAACAACTTGTCCTATTTTTGTTTTGTTTTGTTTTTATCTTACTAATTATTCTTCTAGTAAATGAAATTTTATTCTTAAAAGAGCAAACTAGGAAGATACAAGGCTCAGTTAACCAAAAGAGGAAAAAAATCAACATGAGAAAGAAGTCAACAAAGCAGAAAAAAGCGAGTAAATAATTCAAATATTAATAATAATAATAGTAATAATAATGTTTTAAGAAAAAAAAATTGTGAAATTATTTTGTTTTGTCAAAAAAAAAGGAAAATAAACAAAAATTTTAACGCAACAATTTTCATAATAGAAAAAAAATTGACTGACTGTCTAAATTCGAATAAATAGATGAATATATCTTGACTATCGGCAAGAAAAAGAAAAAAAGAGAAAAAGAGAAAAAAAACGTAATGTTTGACTAGGAATGGAATAAACAGACACACAATTTCGTTGTTATTATTCATGACTAGATATACACTGTGCGTCAACAAAGAACTTTAATATGGTTTAGCCAAATCTTTTGGACGTTTCAATTGAACTTTTAAACGTTTCATACCAATTTGAAATCCATTCATTGATTGTATGGCTAAAAAGAAAAAGAAATGCGATTATGATTAAATAGGAAAAAAATTCTTATTCTTGCCTTGCTGAGCACATTGAGGATTATCATAAGACACAAATCCTAGAAACATAAGAAGAAAAAACTCAATACAGTTAATTGATGAAATTTTCGAGATGAGAACAGAGAAAAGAAAAGACTACGCGTGCAATGAGAATAAAAAAAAGAGAGAACTACATTGGATTGTCACATCACAACATCGAATAAAGAAAAAAATAACAATGTTTCTAGCTCTAGCCCTTGATGCGGCGATCCAGTACTTAGTTCAGATCTTCTTTTTTTTGTCCCCGTTGGCTCGTTTACTTTTATTTTCTCCTTTTTTCTTTCTCACGACATATAGAAACAATAACATTGAAACATATATATATATATGTACCAAAACATTTTGATTGATTGGTGGCTCGGTCAACATAGACCTTGGCCGATATAACATTGCCGAATGGCATAAACATTGATGCAAGTTCGGAATCACCAAACTCTTGTGGCAAATGGTAGATGAAAAGATTGCAACCCTCTGGTCCGAAGAACTGTGGTAGAGCTATGAAATCGAAATCGTTTAAAATTATTTCGAGAAACAAAAAAGTTTATAATAAACAAGAGCATATCACTAGTCACAGAATAGTTTCTATGCTTAAGATTATTATTACTAACCTTCTTTTCCTGGCGATGCTAATGCACTTGGAATGAGTGTTGTAGTTGGTAAATGAGAGTAAATCGCTGTTGGAGCATATATTGGATATTGAGCAGGTAAAGTTGTATAAGTTGCTGTTTGTTGAATTTGTAAACCAGTTGCTGAATCAATCGTTGGACAAACAGCTAAAAATAAATCAAAGTAAATGGACATAGCGAATATATATATGCGAATGATCTTTACTGGAATATTGCATTCCAGATGAAAACAAATCTGTAGGTTGACCATTTGGACCAGGTCCTGTTGTTTGATAAATCGTAGTTGAACCATTATTAACAGGTGATGCATTGACTAAAGAATAACTAGGAAAGTCCATATTGTCACAATCACCTAAGAGATTATTTTACTCGAATTTCAATTTTATCTTTGAATTATATATTAAAAAAAATTTTTTTTTTTTTAATTACCAGTCGATGGTGTCATAGTGCCATTACTCATCGGTTGACCCGATGTTGTTATTACTGGTATAGTTGTATATGTTGTTTGATGTGAGCCATTTGATGAGGCTAATAGAGTTTGTTGTTGTATTTGTGTATAACCTTGATAGTTTAAATTTGCTGCTATTTGTTGAAGTACTAATGGATTGGATAGAAGTCCAAGGGGGCCAGCTAATTGCTGCATACGTCTTAATTGACGTTCTTTTTCTGTATCAGCAAATTTAACAACAATAGATGACGATGCACCTGGAAACGTTTGACTGCCATGAACATTTTGTATTGCTTGTTGAGCTTCATTGTGTGTAGCAAATTTTACAAATGCACAACCTTTACTATCACCATTGGGTCCACGTAAAATTGTACATTCTTCAATAGTGCCATATGGTTCAAATATAGTACGAACATTTTCTTCTGTCATTTGTTTGTTCAACATGCCAACAAATAATTTGCGATCTTCTATTAATAGAAGAAGAAAAAAACCATATAAAAAGTACATTTATCTAAGCACACAAACACATCTGTCATCTGACTACATACACACGCACATACATACAGACACTCTTGAACTAACTTAATTATTTAGAGTTGTAACTATTTCAGTTTTTTCTCTCACCTAAATTTCGTATTCGATTTATTGTCGTTGAATACTGAGGTTGTGTATGATTTGATGCTGTTACCATCATGTGAATATGTGTTTTATGGAATATAAGGAGAAGACTGATGAAGATGTTAAAAAAAGAAAATTTCTTCTGTTTCTCTTGTGCTCTTCGCTCGGAAATCCCTAGCGTCTACTTCGCTTCTGTTTCTTCTTCTTCTTCTTCTTCTTCTTCTTCTGCTTCTTCTTCTTCGTTTTTTTGGCGACCGGAAAAAGTAGTCACTATTTTTTCTTCTCCGTCTCCCTCTCTCTCTCTCTCTCTCTCTCTCTCTCTCTTTCCCTCTATTGCTCTACTACCTAGCTTGCTATTTGAACCGCTCTTCTTTCTATATTTTGTCGGGTCAAATTTCTATCGTCGATGAGAAATCTTATTAGGCTTTTTTTTGTCTGTCAGACAAAAAAGGATGATGCTGCTGTTCTCGCTCGCTCTTTACCGATTGGACAATTTGTTTTTCTTTATTCTACCCGAGTTCTTTTTTTTTGTGAGCGTGCACTATCGCTTTTCTGCAGGGAACAAAAAAATTCTCTTTTCCTCGCTAACTACAATTAACCTGATGTGTGTATGCATCTGTCTGTCTGTCTATATGTGTATGTGATGAAAATGACAGAGGAGAAAAAAATTAAGAAACAAAGATAATCATTAGAAAATAAGAAGAAAAAAAACGATGTATGTGACTTTTCACAACGAAGAGGCTGAGCACATCAATATGAACCGAGACAAAAACTAGCACGATGATTTAACATTACGCCATTTAGTTAGAAATATAGAAAGAGTGATCAGCAACAATACAGGCACCATCACCACCATTAATAAATAAACGACAAAAAAATAAAATATATACACATATATAAATATATATATATATATATATATTCTAGCTAACTCACATTCATATTTGTTGTTGCTAATGCTGATGCTAAAGTCAGATATACAGGTGCTATTCATAAAAAAATAATCATCACGGTGGGGAAAAGACGAAGAAGAAGAAAAGCGAATGATCAAGAAAAAAAAGGAGAAATTTGCAGTTTTCTTTTTTTTTTCAAATTCTATTGCAATATTCAAATTTTGACTATTATAGTTCGACTGTTGCTGCGTCATTTCCGCTTGCTGTCATCAACAATAGATTGTTAATTTCCTTTTTTCTCTACTGCAATTTTTAAGTGTTATCTTTTCTAAAAAAAAAACCGTCTGTCTATGTATATATCTCGTGCCAACGTACACATGGGTTCATAAAGAGAAAGAATATTGAATTTTGTTTTTCATTTAAAATTTGCTAATAAGAATTCTTTACTGTCATGAAATAGATGTTACTAGCCAATGAATAAACGATCCGTTAGATAAATAAAAGAAGAACCGTTTATAACCAATAGAAAGTCAAGGATGAGTAGATTACCTGTTCGTGATTCGCTATCAGCTGGCTTGACTTGAATAGGACGACTCATCTAAAAAAAATAAGAAACGAATTAGTTTATTTGTTTTTTTTTGGACAATTTTGGCTATTTTGGCTATTTTAGTTATTAAAACCTATCTAAGTGTCTGTGTGTTTTGTCCTTACACAACTACTCCGTTTTTTCTTTTTCCTTCTACTACTACTTCAGCTTCGTTTTAGTCTCGTTCTCGCTTTTTCTTTTGCGTTCTCTAATTCTCTCTGTAAATTTCTTTTGAGCTACATAATTAGTAATCGGGACGAGGAGACTATCGACTGGGTGGTGGTATAGCACTTCCGTTTCAACAAAGGGTGGAGCCTTTGGTATCTTGTCTATTCGAAAATTAATTGTCAAGCACGCAATCCTGTGATATATATATGGATTGGTGCTCGTTCTTCCTCTATCCATCATCGCTTTTTTTTCCTAAAAGTATTATACACGCAGGTTCATTCTAACTAGCCAGAGGCTATTTCCGTTTCTATTCCTAATTCGCTTGACGTTTGCCATGATAGACATAGGATATGACAAGCTTTCCGACATCCCTATTCAGTCATCTGTATATATTTCATTCACTTGAACACAATCCTAATTGTATACTCTTGACAACGGCTAAGTTCAAAGAAGCAATCAAGGAGAAAATCGACACGTGTCCTAATGGCATTCTAGCTTCTTTTTTTTTCTTCTTTTTTCTATTCTAAAAAAACAAACTAGTAAAGACAATTACTCACGGTGACCGTACTTAATGAATGAGAGAAAATTGACAGAGAAATAGAAAAAGCTGTCTAATATAATAATAAGAGACTTCATATCTACACATTTTTTTTTATGTTTAACTTACAATTATAGTGGAAGATTCCGAAGAAGTAAAAGAAGGAACATCGATGCTGTTGTTACTATATTTTCTTTTCATTGTGCGCTTAGGCGCTTTCCAACTGACAACAGCTAGTCAGAATTTAAATGCATGCTTTTAAACACGCAAAAAATCTCATATACAATAACCTGGAATTGATTCGATGGTGATAAGACCAGCTCTCTCTTTTAATATGAATATATATATATATATATATATTCAAATTAAAATATATATGAATAGTTGTCCGAACAAAAAAAGCAAACGAGAGACGATGGAAAGAAAAGATAAGTTGATGAGAAAAAAATCTCGCCTGTCGCGTGCTATTTATAAAAAGGAAAAGCATGTTCATTGTGAGTCGGAAATAGCAGTATGCGTCTATTGTATTAAATCGGGGGATGAAACGAACACACACAAACAAAAAAAAAATAGAAGCTCAAGCGAATGTCAAAATGAATACGAACTGCAGTGGATATAGAAGAGGATCCTTATGATTGTCTTTGGTCTCATATGAAATCTATAAATGAAATTGATGCATTGACTTTTGTTTATTTTCCTATTATCATAGAAGAAATCCTTCAACTATATGCACACACACGCACACACACACACATAAAGAAGTCAACACCCATGAACTCTATCTAGTATATTTGTAAGAGAACAATGAAATGAAGATCATTTTGTCAATTAGAACTTCTTCAAAAAATTAGAAAGGATAAAAGAACGATAAATGGGTTTGTTCATTAGATGTAGACAAAGAATCTTGCGGTATGCATTCAATCGATGAATTCACACATTTTCTTGATTATGTTTATATCACTTATTACAAAGGTACGACTTCAGGAATGCATTGATCAATCTAGTCTAGTGCATAGGCGACAGAGTCATTAGGCTCGCGAGGCTAAAGCCTACCCTAGGTTGAAAGTGGGTAGGACTTGATAGATTGAAACTGGAACAGATAAATGTTTGGATAGGTTGTTATATGCAAAATGGATTTATTCTTGTTTAGTTTTGGGGCTTTTCTAACAAATAACACATTATTACAAAATCATTTCATATTTTCTCTTCTAGTAACTCGTTCGCAATGAAGTATTAGTTGAACGTTTTGGCATTAAAATTGACATCTAATTCGTAATTCTTAATTTAAGATAGCTGAATTGTTTCTGTAACTTCTGTTTAAGATTACTTTTAAATCTTAGACACTGAAGTAACATTATGTGTGCCGTGCAGAAATACGAGTTAAACAAAAATGATTAAATGACGATCAAAATCATATGCTTATAGTTGACACTTACAGTTCTTTTTGTCGATTTCAGTCTGACTTCAACTCGTTTTTTCTTCAATGGTGAGATTTGATTTGTTCAAAACGTTGAGTCTACCCTAGATCGAAATCGTTCCACCGCCTATGGTCTAGTGTTATCCCCTAATATTCTAATAGTATGCTATTCTATTTGCCTATAGGTCTTCTCGAGTTGACATGTCATTATTGAACGGAATACATAGATGAGAAATTTAGCACGTGCACTACATTGATGCATTTTTTTTTATAAAAAAAAAAGATGTTCTAGTGACATCTATAATACATACGCCTGGCAATGTTCGTCGTTCGTGTAATGATTGCTGAGCTTTAACTGCAGATTCACGATGACAATAAGTGAGAAATGCACATCCTAAAATAAGACAAAGATGAAATTAATATGTCTTGTTTTACGAGCACACTTATATTGTCGTAGTTTGTATGTTTCAAAATAGATGACATCTGTCGAAATCTCCTTACCATTAAATGTATCAACCAACATGATGAAACTGTAAAAACTGAATGAATGAGTGAATATGAATGAATATAACGTTTGCTACTTTCGTTTTAGTTTAAAAGTTGACCATCTGTCAAGGAAAAAAAAGAAAGAAAAAAAACAACAAATGATTATTAATATCGTTCATTGCCTGTATGGCGACGACCGTCAATGCAAGAAAAGAAACAGTGCCATTACAATACAAGAGAAGTGTCAATGGGGAAAAGAAAATAAATAGAATTTTTCTTCGTCTCCGTCTCCGTCTCCTTCCCCATGCATTTCTTTTTTTTTTGACCACTATGAACGAAAAATAAGTATTCTTGTCATGAACGAAACATATTTGACAAGTTATCGAGTCTTTTTTTTTCATTCTATTCTATTTTATGTTTCGGTCAGACAGATGGTCGCAGCTACGTGCCCCCCCCCCTCCCCCGCTTCCCAACACACGTCTTGAAATCAATCAATCGATCATTCATTCGTCGACAACATTCACCTTCATCATAGAGAAAAAAAAATGAACATATCTTTTGCGCACCGTTTCAGATATAAATGAGTACCGGAAATATGCGTTTTACTTCATTACACATAGAGCTTGATGATTCGCCTGAAGGCATATGAAGAAGAAAGCAAACTTTCTAAATCTTAATTCCTTACCTCGATGCATGCCAGTAAATCTATCTTTAAGTACAGTTAATTCATAGATTTGTCCATACTCTTCAAATATGGGTCTGAGATCATTTTCTTCTAAATGTCGTGGTATTTGTCCAACAAATAATTTTACTGTATCCATATCTTTGAGATCGGATGACGGTGGCGTTGAACCGCGAGACATATAGGCTGTTGGTGAAGCAATCGGTGACATATATGATGAACTTGTTGTTTGTATAGGTGCTAATTGAGATGATGAATGAATTTGTTGTTTTTTATTTTGTGTTGATAAAAGCGAAATAGGAGATGGCGTCGTCGGATAGATAGTTGCATATTGCATTGATGATGTCGTTTGAATAGGAGTAAAATGAGCGTGTGACGATGGTAGTTGTTGTTGATGACTATATTGCATTGATAATGATGATCGGGAAGAACAAATAAGCACATATATTTATAAATGACAAAAAAAGAAAACAAAGGAGGTGATGCAAAGAAAAAGAATTAGTAGATTGATGGCTAGACCGATCGCCAAATGAAAAACTACATGACTATGACAACGAGTGTTATAGTATTGACACATTCGACAAACTTGCTCTAGTGCATTCTAAAAACATAGCAATAGAGAAAAAGAGCCTATAAAATAGGCTAGAAGAAAAATCTTCTGTTTCTCTTTTCTCTCAATGTCCCTCGTCGATATCTATACTTGCATTTTGTTTAATACGATAGGCAGAATAGGCAAAAAAAACTACTATGACTAGTAAAAGAGAGAGAGAGAGAGAGCGCAAGGGAGACATAGAGAAACAAGGAAAATCATCATAGTATATTCTCGACTACTGTAGAGAGAATGAACGATCATACGAAAGAATTAATTTATATGTAAAACTAAAAAAAAGAAAAAGAAAAAGAAAAATGTTTGCAGCTCACGACATTAAAATATTGACATTGGATGCGGTCGTCATTTTTTTTATAAGCTAAAATCTAGAAGAAGATTGATGCGATAATCATCTTTATCAAGGCGTGCAAATAATGATGTCGTTTCCTAGTCTGTTCTCAACAGAAAAACTCATGAATGATGAATTCTAGTTACCATCATTTGACTATCTAAAGCCAATGATTGATCACAAACGGAAGACGTTATTCTCGTTGAACACATAGCCATTACAACAATTAGGAAATAAGATTTAATCAGCAAGCGACTAACATTCGCTTGTCGTTTTCCTCTCTCCCTCTCTCTCTCTCTCTCTCTCTCTCTCACTCTTCTCCCTTAGTTATTGAGTTTCTGCTATTGCATTTATTTTCAATATAATTCTTAACTAAGGAGAAGAGAAACAAGGGAAAAAGCAGAAAGAAAAATGCGACTAGTAACTAGTTCAATCAAGCAAGTAAATCAGTAGTCATTTCTTACTTTCTTTGTTTCTAATGTTAGACAAATAAAACGTAAGAGTTTTTAGACGTTCAAAGAAAATCATACCTGTTATAATATTTGTTCTTTTAAAGAAAATACACTAGATCAATATATATAGCAACTTTGTTCTTATTTTCGAAAGTTGCTTTTTTTCCCTCTATCTCGCTTACTAGAATAGTTTGTTTAATCGATCGACCGAGAACACCTGTACTTATTTTTCTTTTCTTTTTCTCGTTCATGTCTAACTTGAGAAATCAGCAAAACTAACACCGACAAAGAGCCTCTAGATCAAACTTATGCCGATGAAAAATAGCAAATTGAGTTGGTGCCATCATAACGCTCATCGTACATGTCCGACAGACTAATTTCATTAGGAAAATTTTCGAACTAACAGAATAGAAAAAAAAACGAAGAGACGGAATAGAATAAATATGTATATCTATTTTTTTTTACTTGACAGATGTATAAATCGATTTTTCTTGCCGTCTGAACGACCAATTTACAATTTATTCAATGATAATCAACAATCAATCAGTGTTTGACATTTTCAAAGAGTATTGATGCAAGAAAAGAAAAAGAGAAATTCTGTTTTTTTTTCTTTCTTTTTTTGTATTGGAAAAGCTCAGCTTCGCACATGTAAAAATTCTCATCGACAAATGATTATTTTATATTCATAAATTCAGAATTAATGTAAATCTTGTGCAACTATTATCTCGGCTAGAAATTTATTTAGCAGAATTAGTAATTCTGAAAACAAAACAGAAAAAAAAGGCAAGAAAGAGAAGATTACAGGAAACAAACCATTGAGACAAAAGAAAATAAAAGCTAATTAAACATTAAATCATTTATTAACGATTCAGATGAATCATTGTATAAACTAATAAATTTCTTTTCTCATGACTTAAATTCTTCCTGCAAATTTTGATTATGTATTATAAATCGAAGAATTATTAATATAATCTTTGAGTGTTTCCATAAAAATGCCAATAAAAGTCAAAGAAAAAGAAATATTCGAATAAAATATTATTTTTAAACGAATCATCCTTATTCTTTGCAATCAAGTATTCTTTGATGTTGAAGAAAATTCTTTGTTCAGTGAGTGACTCCAGTGAATTAGAATGATGCAGTAAACACATTACGTCAATTCTATAACATTGTAGTTTCTATTAATTTCTATCAATAGTTACACTGGCTTTATAGAGCGTCATAATAATAATACACAATCGTCTTTCCCTTCTTTTATTATTATATTTTCAAATAAAATGCTTCTTTTTGCTACTCCATCATGATTATTTTCTTTTAAGTAATAAACTACAAACTAGAAGGGAAAAGAAAGTATCGATTGTGATCTCATCTAACATATTTTATTGTTGTTTCTTTCTGTTATTAAAATATTTATATATTAATACATTTATATGTAATTCATTGTCAAGAGGTCTATTCATATTTATGCATTACATTTTAACATCAGTGGACTATTACAAAACATTATTAAAAGCATTGATCAATGGTGTTAGTACAGATCAGTATTCAAAGCAACTTTTTTTTATAGATATAAATTTCTAATTAAATTCACACTAAGGTCCCCAGTGTACTGATAATACTCTTTGAAATTATACATATGCGTATATATATATATATATGAGAAAAAACCATTCGAACGATTGTGAATAATGAGGAATCTATAACAAATAGCTATTTTTGTTGTAGAACTTAAAAAAAATCTATATATCATATGTGATGTTGCTTTTCTTTAGAACCGATGGCAATATGACGAGGCTATTGAGAGCGAGCCTCAATATATGTAAATAAAATTTTTGTCAGTATGATAAACACATTATTATTTTCGTATTGAATAAAACACAATGTTCAATAAAGTTTGATGATAAGAAATATTTGTGATGGTACCCACAATAAGTAACTTCTGTAAAAGAACAACGAAATATTGAGTAATATTTAATATTTGAATGCATATCGCAAAATTTGATAGTTCGTCACACGAGATATGCATATGCCTAGTTTGATCCCTCCTGGTAGACGACATATGGTTCAGTATTTATGCCTTTCCTTTCTTTTTCATTCTAGTATCTGCTCATGAAATTCAAAGGCATATAGTTGACTAGTAGATAGAAAAAATAAGAAGAAAAAAACGATGTCGAGTATTTGAACTTATCTGTTCTATTTTCTTCGTTTGAATCTCATATCATATTCAAGTGCATCAATATTGAGAGTAAACAAAGAGATTTCGTTATTTTTCTCACGTTATATAAACTTGATTTATTTTTCGTTTCGATTTGATCTCAAAAAGAGTAAAATGAAATGTATCATCTACGAAAAAAGTTGTAGCACGTAACATAAACAACCAATTCATACGTATAAATGCTATGCCTTCTTCTCACCTACGCATATATGTATATAGATATACATTCCATTGATAAATGATAAAAAATCCAAAGAAACACAAGAATGTAGAAGAAAGAAATCAGACACGATATACATGTTGTTGACGATGACATTTTTGTAATTTACCTTGAATTAACTTTTTTTCTTTTTTTGTTAACAATTAGAATGAAAAGAACAATTCTGACTTGTTGCACTTATATTCAATACAACGTTTAAGAAATTTGATCTACGTGCATTTACAAAAGGTACCGCAAATTTATATTCATATATATATGTATATACTTGTTCCAATAGAATTTCAATCGAGCCATGAAATGAAACGGACTATGAATGATTTTATTGTATAGGAACATTGTCTAGACTTTGATATTTTTATTTTTGCTGTTAATATCTAGAAAGTCGATTTTACATATTCCGATTGAATACAGTACAGCAGTCTAGATAGCTATTCGTATAAAAGAAAAAGATAAGACAATGGTACTCAGTTCTTCGTTTCTTTCTGTTTCTGGTAGCATCAGCATATCATGCCAACATTCTTGTTATTTTTTGGTTAGTTCTTTCATTATTGTTAATATTTTCAGTAGCTTTATCAACAATTATTTAAAGACTAAAGTCAGACATTGTAAATAATGGTTACTAATCGTAGTGCACACGTCAATCCAGGATTTATTATTGATTATAATGCTACCTCGTCATTGTGTTCGATACGGAAGATCAGGTTTGTTTAATAGAATAATTGATCATTATAAAAACCAACCAGTAACAAGCACTGCATAGTATAAGTGAATTAGAGAGAGAGAGAGAGGGAGAGAGAGAGAAAGGTCTTTTTTATTTTATCTATCTTTGCCACATAAAATGAGAATAACAGGTGTAGGTAGATGACTTAGTATGAATTATTATCTTGATTGCTTAATCGTAAGGGAAAATTTTTGAAATATAAATGACGTCTTTTTTGTATTTATAGTAATCAACAGGATTCGCATAACAATAATTTAATTCGACGACGGCCCATGTCAAATGGAAACAATGATAAATTATTTGATGTCAAATACAAGGTTTTGTTACTTGGTGATACACTGGTAGGAAAAACTTCATTACAACGCTTTATTGCTAGAAAAGATTTTCGTCCAGCTGTTGGATCTACAATTGGTATTCGTATTAATTTTAATGTGACAATAAAAAAAAGGTATACAATTGATTTTTATAGGGATGGATTTTATTAGTAGGGTGATTCCAGTGGAGAAAGCAAAAGTTAATCTACAGATATGGTAAGATATCATGTTTTCGTTGAGATTATTCGACTAGACTGATTTTATTATCGCTTTGAAGGGATACAGCAGGTCAAAAGAATTTTCGAACGATTGGTAAAAGTTATTACACATCGACAAAAGCATTTGTACTAGTTTATGATGTTACGAATGAAGAGACATTTGATTTAATCCAACAATTTAGTCAATTAATTGAAGAGGTTTGTTTCGAGAAAAGGAACTTGTTTTTTTTTCTTCAAATTGTTTATGTAATATTTAGACTGAACTAGATATGGAGCGTCGATATTTGGTAGCAAATAAAATTGATTTAGTACTAAATCGACAAGTTAATGAAGAAACTGGCCGACGAGTAAACAATTGCGTCATTCATGTATCATCGTTGTTCATTTTCTATTTTTAGTTCGCTTTAAGAAATAGTATGGTTTATTTTGAAACTAGCTGTAAAACAGGTGAAAATATTCAGGAACTTTTCGAACAAATTGCTTCTGATCTTGTTCATCACCATGATCCTAAAATAGTAGGATTGTATATAATTCATCTAATGATCTATCAATTGTTCTTTTTTCTTTTAGTTTGAATTTCATAAACCAATGAAAGATAATTTTGCATTCAGTTATCATACATCAGCAGTTGCAAATCCTCAAATAAATGATAGAACTATCGAACAAATTAAAAAATCAAAAAAGAAAAAAAACATTTTTTCACCATTATCTTACGAGTCAGTTAATGAAAATAATGGCTTTAATTTTCGTTCTTTTATACTTTGCTGTAAACCAAAAAAAACAGTTGCCACAAATGATTAAGCTTTATGAATTGGTTTGTTTTTGTGAAATTATTGTGAGATATAAATCTTTATTTTTATGAAAGGCATTGTCAGGTGTATGTGTTTGCTTTTCTATTTATAAATATCTTCTTCTCTTTGTTCAATAATCACATACAGATATAACATAATGTTTAGGTTTTCATTTTAACAATAAAAAAAACTAAGTAATAGAAACAGTAGGACGCATCTAACCAGGCGCGCAAGCTTTTTTTTCTAAAAGAGTTATAATACAATTGAAAATCTGTGTATGACTTCAAAATATTAACTGCAAGTTCCTCTAGGCTCCATAATTTATTTTTCAAAGTTCACTCTCACTTAATCATATCATTTTCCTTTGATTTTTTGTAATTTTATTTACAACAGATACTGTCAAACGGTCTGCAACTCTCGTAAGATTTACAATTTTTCTTTTTCATCTTAGGTATTTATTAGCTGTAGATATTAGTTGTGCAAAGTTTTGTTCTAATTCTTTCGATGTGAGAAACAGATCCTGCGTGCATTTTCTGTTGGAAAAATGGCGCCCACTGGAAATAAGTAAAGCAGTCCTGAGTCGTTCGCCGACAGGGTACTACTTACGACTTGTCGCTTATATGCTCCTGTTTTTATTGTATCATGAAACTTTTACTTGTTCTCAGTATGAACCTTTTTACCCTTAGGATTGCGACCAAAACTTATATCCGACGATTAAAACACATTGCTTCTATTGCACTATTGAATATTTGCCTATTCATTTAGTGCACATCTGATTTGGCTAGATGAAATACTATGCATTTTCTATAATTCGTGAGCAATAGTTGCGCCTACAGAATAAACATGACGAAGAAAATCCTGATAATAGATATCGAAAAGAGTTATGTCAAAATCGAGAAAGGCTCGAAAGAAAAAAATCTTGAAAAATTGATACAGGAAAATATCGACATGGAAACAGTACTAATAATCTAATTGAGATTTGTAAATGGAGGAAATTCTGCTCCTCATGCGAAATCTAGATGGCATCCACACTCTTACAATTCACTTCTATGTAAAAGAACGAATTTTTTTTTATTTTTGAAATTTAATTATTATCGAATCTTTCGAACTACATCTCAAAATAGTGTTCGTACCTGAACAAATATCAACCAATGATTATTACATGTAAAACCAAATATGAAGATTGCTGAGCTACAAATTTTCTTATGTCTTTTATTTGTAACATATTTTACTAGATCTAGATTGTTGGTCAATGTATCACTCTTAAGGTGTAAGATTAAAAGGTAATATGTTTTCCTTGCAGAGGAATAGGAAAGTGACGTGCATAGGTTTTCCTTTTGTATGGTTGTTTTGTCTGTTACCCAACAGAAAGAAAAGATACCTTTGCAGCGATTATCGAAAATATCAAAGACAAAAATAAACATACTCTCTTTGTGTTACTCTTAATTTGTTACATTCATTCGCATTGATTATTAGCACATCTAAACCCATAGGTTCACGAAAAAATGATTTTATACCGTTTTACTTTTATGCTAAGATGAATAGGAAAATATGTTAGAATATTACAGTATACATGGTTCCTTTAGTTTCACGCGTCAAACATTATATTCAACTGGCTCTGATCCAATATCTATGAGTGCTAGTCATTTTAATAATGACAACCAGCTGGATATTGTTGTCACTAGTTATTTTGAAAATTCACTAGACATCATTTTTGGATATGAAAATGGCTCCTTTACAAAAACAACAACATATATAACTGATAGTCCTTCATATTCTGTGACTGTAAATGACATTAATAATGATGTCCGACCTGATGCTGTAACCATCAAATTTGATGATGCCAGTCTAATTGTCTTCATTGGAAGCAGCGATGGATCTTTTGAAAAACAAATGCTATAGTTCAACAGAGTCTAGGCCATATTTAGTAGCTGATGGCGATTTTAATAATGACAGTCGACTAGATATCGTCGCCGCTAATCAATTGGACGACATAGTAAGCGTACTTATTGGAGATATCAGTGAAACTTTCGTGAAAAAGACGACGTTCATAATAGACAATGGATCTCGACCGAAATCGCTCATAATAGATGATTTCAACAATGATACCACACTTGATATCGTTGTCACATATCATGAAAATAATACAGTAGAATTATTTCTTGGGTACGGTAATGGTTCTTTTTTTTTTAAGTCAAAAAGTATTGGTCACGTTCTAATTCTCAACCAAAAGTGATTGCGGTTGCAGATCTACAGTTGTTTTCAGTCAGCCATGGATTTCACCCTTTCTCAATTTCTGTCGTTGGTTTTAACCGTGACGGAAAACTGGATTTTGGTGTTACCAACAAAAGTCTTGACAATGTGAAAGTTTTCCTTCAGATTCGTTAATGTTCGAACACTTAGCTGTAGCGCTGTATTGCTAACACTCACTATTGGTAATATCCAAGGGGGAAAAAGCTGATTTAAATCACAGTAAAACTCAACTTACAATCAATATAAATTAACTGTATTGGAATGAGTTTGCGTGAGTTTCGGTGCCTTTGAATGATTTTCAGTAATAATTTATGATTTGGAATAGTTTTTAGTTAGTTTAGCAAATTTTTCGTTTTCTCAAACTCATTTTAAATCAGCTAAACTCAGAAAAATCATGAAACTCATAAATCGCTTTTCTCCTCTTGGTAATATCTCTTGTAAAGCTATTCTAGTCATCTCTTAATATATATATATATATATATATATATATATATATATCAACATCTTTTTTATCGCTGTCAGATAGAAGAGTTTGGGCTAGCTATTTTTCTTCATTGATTTGCAACCTTATAAACTATTATTTATAATCTACAGCTTTCAAAACAAATCATCAAAAGAAAGTCTTATAATAGACTTTTCCGTTGATATATTTTACAGAGATACGAGAACATCGATGCCTATAATGGATCATGAACACAACAATAACAAAACTTTCTTCAATACTAGTTACACTATGTACTCTTTTTGTTTGATCAAGCCATCGTAGAAAAAAATAAAAAACAAAGAGCATCTGAAAGTCCGTAGCAAGCTGCTTTGTAAAAAACTCAAACCTAAACTTTTGACTATTCTGCTTTTCTCTATTATTAATATAGTTTTCAGTTTCACATAAGAATATAGTTAGATCTAGAAATGTAATGCATGTTTTTGTGCTATGATGAGACAACGGGTCGACAATTTGAACCCTTAAAAAATACGATTTATATTCAGAGCCTCTAAGAACTATATGCATGTAGCTTTAGGCGAAGAGAAACATTTTGATGAGCGCGTTAAGCAACAAGAAGTACTCATGCATTCATGTGAACTACAAGAACATATCATATATAACAATAAAAAAAAGTCATTTGATGATGAAAATACATCACGACGTATTAGATAGATATCTATACTGATTTCCGTCATGTATTTTGTTTTATATAATACTTTATTTTGGTGAGTACCACATGAGTGGTTAACACCTGCTACGAGCGAACATCGCTCCTGTAGCGTAAAAAAAACCAAATAGTTGAGAAGAAAAATAAAGATCGAGTACACTAGACACAAGGCGAGAAAAAAAAGAGAAAGACACTATAAGAGTTTAGGAAAAAACGAATAGGGAGATACAACACATGTTTAACACGGAGAATCTCAGGACTTAGAAACATACTACATGGTCAAATAGAGATAGTATTCCATCATTTAGTAGGCTTTTGATGTTGTTACGTGTTCTTCCTCTACCAAATATTGATTTCTTTTCTTTTGCGAGTGAAGGATTTGTGAAATATTCTTGTAAGTAAACGATTGATAGTTTGTGTTGTAAGAAATCTTCTAGAACACGAGGATTTGTTCTGAGTATTGCTGATGTCAATTTATCCCAATGAGTATCTGCAAGTTCCTTAAACGATTTATATTTTGGTAGACTCTCAATTTCGATGTTTGTTGCATCAAACCACTGATGCATTTTTCGAAAAATTTGACGATTCATTGCTTCGAGTTGTTTTGTTTATTCAGGGTCAAAATCGGATAAATGTTAAAAAGCGACTGGTAGTACGGTCTAATGTGAGCATTGAAAAGTCTATAGNAATTATGTGAGATGGACATTCGAGGCGTCTTAGTTTGATCCAAAGTCCGAAGTACCATAGTTGGTTAAAAGCTGGCTTGAAATCTACGAATAGAGCTGCCGCCGCCGTATTTTTTGATAGGCTTTGACCTATTTGATCGATCATTGAGACAAGACGAACGGCCATGTTATGTCCTGGACGAAACCCGCTCTGTTCTTTGGGCAAAATTCCTTGATCGTCCACCCACTTTCTTAAGTGGACTGGGAAACATTTTTCGTAGATTTTTGAGAAACACGGTAGTAATGAAATGGGTCTTGTTTCGTCAAGTGTTACGATTCCGGACTTGGTCTTCGTGAGTAAAATCATTTTGGCTATATGCCAATGAGCAGGAGTTTGGTAAGAAGATGCGAACGTGTTAAACGAGAACAAGATTATTTGAAGATGTCCACTAGGAAGTAGTTTCAATGTGTGATTCGACACCCCGTCGATACCGGCTGAATTTTTATTTTTCAAAGATTTCCGTCATCTATAATTATACGAAAGCACAAAAAAATGTTTGTCTTATTTTATTTCAAAATAACTCACATCTTTTTCAATCGAACTAGTCGATTATATATAAAAATTTAAAAACAACTACAATAATCATATTAATTAGAATGGAAATAGAATATCATCATTGAACTTACATTATAAATCGAAACATATTTTTCGTTGACACTGCTGCTTCTTCTATTATGAACTATTGTACCCATAGATTTCGATATTAATATAGAAGAAAGTATATACAATATCATGGCTGCTTATACGTCTGATTCAAAAAACATTGGATTTATTAGAGATACATTCAATGAAGAATATTTATTCGATTCTACGGTAAGTTTTCGGCTGCAATCATTATCATTACGAAAATGGACTATGGTTGGAACATGTTGTTCTTTAATGGCTATAGCAGAATCGCGAATAACTGGATGCTTACATGAACTAGTACTAAGTGGTTCGTTTATATCTAGCGTTGTCCACGGTGTACTATCTAAAAGATGTGCAATACAATCATGAGCATCAACATCTGTTTGTCTATCGATATCATAATCATCATATTTCTCTATAAATGAATTGTGTTTTCGTATTGTAAATGTTGCATTTGTATCATCATCTAAATCATCAAGCATTGTTCTTGTTGACGGCAATGAAAGTAATTCAATATCTATTGGGATATTTTCATAATTAACCCTCCCATTTTTGACCATTCCAGATAATATATTTTTTGTTAAATTTGGATCATCTTGTACGAGTGATACTGATAAATGTCTTAAATGTTTTTGTCGTCGTAATAATTCCGTCTTTTTCTGACGATGGTGTTGAATAATAACAGGCAGAAGCATTAAAATACTCAGTGCGTACATCATCGGTACAAATAATGGATTATATGATGGAAGAAATTCTTTTTCTCCATTAGAATTTATTTGATCACCATTTACTACGCGAAGATCTTCACATTTAATATCAAGGCCATTGGCTGGAAGAATAAAATGAAAACAAACAATAAATAATTCTGTTGTGTGATATTGATAAAATATTTCAATGGAGTTTTCTTCTGATCTATTTGTTGGTAAAAATAAGCCATATTTTATTTGTCTATGTCCAAATGAACGAAATGTAATAAAATAAGAATAATTTGTTGTTAAATTGTATGATAAAATAATTGTATAATTTTCTGCATAGTTTACATCAATATTCAATGCATTAATAGGCTTTGTTTGATTATTAAGTGCTGATAAAACAGAATTTATAGATAAATAAATAATCAGAATAATAATGCACGATAACATGAAACAGTTTTTCTTTCTTTTAATGTTGAATTTATCGAAGAAAAAAAACTCTTCTTTGATTCAATCTATTTGTGTTCAATGTAAAGAATAGAAATAAATGTCTTACTAATATGAAGCTTGTCTGACACTCGACTTATTTTTTTCTTTCTTTTCCCACAGAATTTTATTCTCGCCTGTTTTTCTGCTTTCTAGCGACATTGAAATAAGCATTAGCAGAATTTGCAAAAAGAGAAAAAAAAGACGACACACTATGAGGAAACTGTGTTTGCTTCTTATTCATACAGCCGATTACTGTTCTTATGCCAATGAACCATGTGTCAATGAAAATTTCCTCTAAGCAACTTTCCTTCTTTTTTTTCTATCAATCTTTCACTCTGGAAAAAACAAAAAGTATACTTTTGTGTGACTTTCTATATTTATATAGAAGTGTGTCCATTTGCGTTTCCGCTTCTAAGTTCTTTTTTTATGAGACTGACGTCATCGTCAAAACTTTTTGCTCAACGATATTTACTAATCATTTGGAAAGAATCATGAAAAAGCCCTACTATAAACAGCTGCAATGAAGTTTTTCATATATTTCACCTGCAGTTTTACCCATATATTATTATTAAAAAGTGATAAGTCTATATATTCATCATAGAAATGAATGATTGTGAAGCTGCAGGAAAAGAAAAAGGTTGATGGTAAATAGAGAAAGTGCTCATCAATCTCATTTTTATGATATTAAGTAGTTGCTGTTAAGAACAAAAGGAAACTATTGAACATGTTCTGTAGACAAATTGATTTAATAGTTTAGTCGTATGGCTATTCATCAGAATATTTCACATCAATAGTATTCATAGAATGGCACTCAATCTTATCATTAATTGATTGCATAATTTTCGTATCTTAGATAGTGTGACACGCTTTTTTAGGGTTATCTGATGAGTTTCTATTACTTTCTCTAAGGATAAGATAATAAAAACGTCTGTCACTGATGACTGTTAATAGCAACGGAAATAAAACAATTAATAAATACAGAACATTGTAGTGCATTGCAGCATGAATCAAGCAAGATCGTTACTCGTGAAACAAGTGCCTACTGGCAAGTGGATGAAACTTCAGTTATTTTGACACATTAATCTAAGTGGTGACGACTTCACTATAGTCTTCAACGGTGAGCGTGAGTGAATGAGAGATAAAATTTAAAGATCTGGCAACTCTATTTCAGGAACTACAATTTTACACTATTGTATCAGATTTGTGTCACTTAAAGGTATTGCTTTTAAGAGAAAAAACTGAGCACACTTTAGTTAATTACAATGCTACTGAGTTATAAGGAAATGTGAATATCAGATGTAACAGAAGTATGAGTTCAGCCACTACTGCGCCGCTTAGTTTATTTCGTAATTTAACGGTCTATTATTCACATAATATAGATCATTCAATACTGCGTGAAAAATATGCCAAAAATAAAACTAAAAGATTATTCGTCAAGGCTACAGGAGATGAGAGCTATTCATTTTTTAAATTCAGTAAATCAGAATCACAAGTAAGTAACACTTGTTCTAGGGGATATTCAGATTTATCGAAATTTATTAAAATATCTTTGAGCATAAGAAAATACGCCAGAATTACTTCACTTTTTAAAATCGATTTTAAGCTTAGCTCTGAAGTGTGTATGAGCAATAATACTAGTTCGACAGTGAATTTGCTATGTATAAACTCGCCATTTTTAGTATTACTTGGTTTTGTCGAAATAATTAATACTCAATGGGCATGCTTTTGTTTACTTCAATGAAATTTAATGCATTTCTTCAGAATCTTTCTGCCATACAATGCACTCGTTCGATGATGAAATTCAAAAAAATTGAAGAGAAATTGCTAATTATTTTGCTATATCCTTTGAATGAAACTCGTAATATATTATATTGAAAACTATTCTGAACTGAGCATGATCAAGATTCATGAAAAATAAGGTCTCTTCTTGGATAAGATGTTATCTAAAATAGTAATAAATTTGATAAGTATATTGATAAATTTGTCTAATTAAGAGGAAAAACAGAGTCGAAGATCCCACTTCTGCGTAATAGTAGCCGCGAACCTTGAATAACTCAAAAATAAAGCGTACACTCGATTTTAAGTATAAGTCATATCGTTGATAAATGCAATTTATATCATCATAAAAACAGCGGCAGTTTTTTCAATTTTTTCCGTCATAAATAAAGGCATCTCATAGACTTTTCCTCTGATGCATACTATAATTTCATAAGAATCTCTATAATAGTTGCCATAGAATGTGCACAGCTACTCTATCGTCTTGACGAAAAGAACAAATACGCAATTACGATTAAACTTAAAATATAATTCAATTGAAATCCGTCCTAAAAATTATTTTCAAACTTTTACTCTTAATCGAGGGAGAATAATTGATCGAAACGACAAATCGATTAGGTTATTTTTAAGCACTGCAGATGTTTGCGTTTTGCATGTTTGAGGTTATCCAACTCATTTTGGTGACAAATATCTGTTTGAATGATAATAAACATAATCCATCATACGCGAATGGAGTGTCGTCGTTGTTTTGAAATATGATGCGAGAAATTATTGTGATGATTGATCTTTTGTCTGATCAGCTAACAATAATCAATAATAGAATTATACCATTTTTATACATATGAAAATATCAACTACGAAAAACACATAAGCAACGCTATTGAATGACTGATGCATTGTGGATTTCAAGTTCGAATTCTAAGACAATTTTTATTTAACAAAAGATACTCTTTTTAATTCATTCTTTTATGTGAAGAATTCGTTAATGATATCAATGAAATCATCTGATATAAAACTAAAATACGTAGAATGCGATTATGCCTACGTACATGATATTTAGTAACTGATGAGTCTACCGATAATTACAACTAATTAACAATAAATCTCTCAAAAATTTAAGATTATTTTTTTGGAAAAATTAGAATATAATTTACAATTTATCGACAACATTTTAAAACTTGTTGTTTTTTCTATTTCTCGTAACTGAACATTGCAAAATAATCCTAATTGCTTGTATTTATCGAGGTAGTAGTTAATATTCTACAAGCAGCACGATGCTAATGAGTACCGTACAAGAATGAAATTCCTCTTTCAAGAAACATTTAAACAAGTGCTTTATTATAAGAGACTCGAATGTAATATGAGTCATTCCAAAGAAAACATGTTTTATTCCGAAGGACTTTATCAGACGCCAGATTGAATTTATTGACAAGCATGCTGCTTTTTTCATTCAAGGGGAAGAAAAATAATTATAATGATAGAAAAGGAATATTTTGTATCAAAACAATCTAAAGAATAAAGTTGTAAAAACAGCGCCCAACGTGGGGCTCGAACCCACGACATTGAGATTAAGAGTCTCACGCTCTACCGACTGAGCTAGCCGGGCAGCTGCGAAGAATTGTTGCATAGCTAACCAAAACGATGACCTTGATTTACTAGAAAGTTTTCCCTATGAAATTTAATTAAAAAATGCATTTTTGAAAGCATTTTAATTTCGAATTCGGCTAAATTCATAATTCTTAGAAACGAAAGAATGATCGGACGTTCTTCTTTCGAATATAATGAATCATTTTTATCAACGTTTTAAATTCAAGTTGAGAGTATTTTCAATAAAGCATCGTTTCCTACAACTGTAAACAATTTATGAATGCATCGAAAATAAAATAATTTATACTCATTTAATGGTTACGGCGAGCAATGAAACACTTGACAAGCAATATGTAAAGCATAGAATCAGCAATGATCGTAGAACTTTCGACACTCATACGCATGTCAGAAGCAGGCATTCCAGATCTTCTGATTTGACTCTTACAGTAACATTTGAACTAGGATGTGAAGTCAAAAAAGAAGAGATATAGTTGCTGCAATAATTAATAAATACAATCACCACTAGGAAAGTGCATCGCTTTTGCTTTTTTTCCTCAAACTAAAATTGCCGTTTTACTAAATGACGTATTTTTTAATTATAGAGTTTAATAATTGACTCTAAAGTTAATAGATACTGTATAATCATCATTAACAGTACATAAACATTATGTACCCAGGCCAAGGATTATGGGCTTTGCATGTGACTGGAAACAATCGTTCATGCTCTCTATACGAGCGTGTTTGATCCTCTGAGTTGTTAAATAAAAACGTTGACATAAATAAGTGTATTTAAGTGAACGAATAGATTAAATTTTCATAGGAATACAAAGAATAAAGAGAATTGCTCACATAAAAATAAACGGCAGTTAAAAAATGAAAAAAAAATTATCGTTATTATTGTTAAAAACAATAGAGAAATTGAAAATATTCTAATTATTTAAGTGTAATGCACTCAAGAGAAGTTAGTTGTTTTCTAAAGATAACTCTTCTTTTCTTTTTAAAAATAGAACAAAATCATAACGAAATTACGCAATAACCTTGCACAATCTCAAACAAACGCAACATATATAGCAACACATATAGAGAAGGAATCGATGAGCCGCGATCTCGGTCTAATCATTGTATTGAGACTAAAGCAACTACTTACTGGCTATCTTTACGTGGCGACACGAAAGAGATAGCCCCGGATCGAGATCAAATCGACACTCGTCACATTTTTTTTTCTTCTTCTTCATTCCACTGTAATGTCTCGAATTCAGTAACGCTCTATGACAACAGCATATTATTACGCATCAAATATAAACAGAACTATTTTAGTAACAAAAAAAAATTAGCATTTTTAAAATTAATCATCAAAGCGTACTAAGCTCGTGATAATATGTAAATTAAATGCTATTGTAGTTCATTATGAAAGTTTTACACGTAACAAAATAAAAACAGGAATTTATTTATCAGTTTTCAAATCAAATATAACTATTCGAAGGTAATAATTTTAAAATTAGAAAATACCATTGAAGTGAGATCGATTTGGTGTCATATTTTTCTCAATGAAATTGTAAGGGTATATATCACTATCGATCATATCTGAAAGAAAAGCC